CGGGGAGAAGGAGCTCCTGCTCAGAGGGGACACCAAGGATGGAGTGACAGCCACAAGGACATTTGGCACAACTTCCCAGATAAGGACAAAACTCATCAAGCCAACTCAGCAACTGTGCTGAAATCAGCTCCAGCTGGGGAAAAGGTACTTCTGGCACAGGGAGACAGTGACCACCAACTCCTGGCCCACTGACACCAGAAACCCAGCGAGAAAAAAGAAGAGACAGACTGAGCACAGGGGAAGACTAGTTAGCATAAAAAGTGGGGCAATCTTCCAGCCAAGAAAAATATTAATAGAATAATATTAAGGTATTGGTAAGTTATTGCAAATTGATATTAGTTAATAAGAAGAGAAAATATTAATGTTAATATTAATATTCAATAAATAGAAAACAGAATATTATTTTAAAATACAAATGTAAATATAGTATATTATTTAACTTTATAATGTCCATAAATAATAAAGATCTAGAAATAAAAAATATCTTTTTAATATTTAAGGATTATATATTTTGTAATATGTGATATAGAACATTGTAGATTACATATAATATTAATGTAATATCTAAATATTTAAATATGATACTATAAAATATAAAAATAATAAAAAAAAATAATAAGAGAACCATGTAACTGGAAGCCAATGAGCATGAATGCCTTTGTTCACTAAAATGTATAAATAGTGAAAATTTTGATAGTCGCTGTGCTGCCTTTGTGGATTTGCCACCCAGCAGCTCCTCCTGTGCAGAACTGTAAATAAAGGAAATAGCTGAACTCTGTGTGGGGATTGGCTTCTTGCACACGGGGTGAAAGGATCCCTTTTGGCACAGCAGCTTTGCCATGGCCACATGGATAAAAGCTGCTGCTTTTCCAGGCAGGCTCAGCTGTGCCCGGCCCATCTCGGAGCCAGCCGGGCGCAGGCAGAGCAGCAGAGATCTGAAACTCGGCGGCTGCGCGGTCGCTGTGCCCAGACAATCGCCCAGCAGCCACGAGAGCCCCTCTGGGAACGAGCACCAGATCCCAGAGGGCACCTCTGCCAGCTGCCCCCGAGCCCCTGCACCGAGGAGTTGTGGTCCAGGTGTTTGGGGAACCTCCTGGGGCTGCTGAGCCCAGCTGTGTGGTGTTCCAGTGAGCACCTGGCAAGCTGAGTTCCCCCACAGGGACAAGGGCGGCTGGTTTGGAGGTGTCCCTTGGTTCCTTCAAGAATCATTTGTCAGGGTCATTGTCCTGGTTGGGTGGCCAAGAGCAGCCTCCCACAAAACACTGCCAGGGAATTCCTATGAGCCAGGCATTCTTAGGAGATAAAAAGCATGACCACATAGGATTTAGCTGGGAAATACAAGGTTGAAATGTGTATTGCTTTTGGCTAAAACATACCTATTAAAAATGTTTTATTTTTAATGAGACCTGCAATGGAGATGGGGACAGGCCAAAAGGTCTATTCTTTGGATAGATTTTGGAAGAAGGAACTGCCAGTGTAAAGTCTGTGTTTTGGAGAAGAAGCTACATTTCCTGTGCTGCTGAAAACCTCTCCTGGAAGGAAAACCAAAATGAAACACAAAACCAAACCAACCGACCAAAAAACAACACAATCCCCCAACCCAAACCAAAATGAAAACACAGCACAACCCAAACCAAAATGAAAACACAGCACAAAAAACCCACAAAAAAACAGAGCTGAGAACTGAAATCAAAACTGAAATCAAATCCCCAGAAAAGAACTGCTGTCACTCAAATGGTATTAAAGCCACCCATCTCAATCCCCTGAATTCTAGTCATTGTTCAGCATCTCACTGCAGCTAAGAAGAGATCACATAAATCACAGTCACACATTACTTCCCTCCAGGCACTATGTTTAAATAAAAGCATCAGCTTCTCTTTGCTTGTCTGGGTGGATTGCTCTTGGTCAGAATTTTCCTTTAAGCACAACCTGCCTCAAAAAGAGCATCTTTCACTTTCTTTTCCTGTCTTCTATTTTTCTTTTAAGTATAGTGAAAACTTCCCACTTTGAGTTAGATAACACCACACAAAGAACATGAAGAAACAGCTGCCACTGAGGAACTGAAAATGTTACTTATTATTTGATCAATATTTTCAATGGCTGCCATCAAATTGGACTGCCAGGGATCCAGGGATTTTTCAGAGACATGTCAGGACCCTGAAACACTTCTCATGCTCTTAAATGGAGAAGCAAAAAAGGAGCTTTGTCCAGGTACTTTTTTCTTTATAGGACTGGTTGTCATGTTAACCTAGGAGGTAAAAATGGGAGCATCTAAAATATGTTTCTACGTGGGGATACAAGGGATCTCTATGTGTGGAGTCCTCTGCTGGGGATATTTGAAATGGGAACCTGCCCCTGACAAAGTATAGGAAAGGAAGTTTTGGCATGATAGGGACAAAGCTCTGGTGTCCACCCAAGGTGAGCTCCAGCCATGCCTGTGGTTCCAGTGTCTGCCCAGGAAAGGTAAGCACCAGAAGGATGGGTATTTCTAGAGATGCAGAGGATGTGGAAAACCACTGCTACCACCTGCTGTGCCATCCCACTTCTAAATCCACAAACCCGCGCCCTGAGTAATGCCACAGCCTAAAGCTCAGGGCTTCCCATGGGATTTGCCTGCTGGGGTTAGAAAAAGATGGATTGCTGTGCAGGCTTTCACCTTGCTGCATGGTGGTGACCTCACTTGTGTAATAAGCACCCAGAGGTATTTCCCAGCACTTTCCCAGCTCAGGAGAATGCAGGAAATCAGTTCCTACCTGCTTCTTGTGGTTGGCAACTCCACCTGGCATGGAGAACATTGACCTCCACCACTGCAGCTGTTGTTTTCCCCCCAGATTAAATTTTCAGAATTAGGATTCCATGAAAAAGCTTTTCACTTCTTCCTAGGAGGCAGTTCTTTTAAAACGGTTGAAATCGTGGGTGCAAAGTCAAAATTCTACTTTCAAACCAACCCTTAAAGATTGCTTCTAATCTGAAAAGTGATTGAAAAAGTGGCAAGTGATCACTTTTGCGTGATTTCTTCAGGTCAGACCATTGTCAAAGTACTTGAGAGTCCTCTTGCCATATTTAAATACTGTGTCATGAACAAATGAAAACAAAGCTGATGATGGCTATTGAGCACTGCAGATTATCAACACACTTCTGTCGAGCGCAGGTGACTCAGCTTCATCTCTGTAAAAGTGGAAACACCACGGGTTAAAGACCATTTTGCAGGAATTTGTGCTGTGAAAGGTTCTCAGAGTGATTTGATCTTTGTTTCAAATGAAAGAGCTGCAGCTTTTACTGTTGCAAAGAGTGGAACACTTGTACAGAGTGTGAAGAACAGAGCCAATGTAAAGCATGAGAATGTTGTACTTCACGGTAACTGCTAAACAGAAATTGAAATAAAATTTAATTGTTATTGATGTGAGATTAATTGTGGCCTGGAGCAGGAGGCAGTGGCTGTCAGACTCCACAGAGCTCAAGGGCTGTCTCAGAGCTTGGCACTCTTGAGCACTGCCAGCCATTAGCACTGTAATTATGTTATTTTTATAATTCAGGCATGTAGCAAAGGGTGATTATGATGCAAAGGAATAAATGTCCTGCCAGAAACACAAGCACCACCCAAAAAATTATTATTATTAAGAAGAATGACTTAATGTGGAAAAACATAGAAACAGCTATTGAAGTGCTCAGTTTGTACCAACCCCATCAGCAGCAAGGTGCTAAGGAGCAACCACTGAGTCTGCCAAAGTCAAATTGAGTCAGACTAATTTAAATGGATTTTTTTGGCAGTGTCCCTGAGCTATGGAGTAGTTTGCAAACCAGCAGCAGGAAACTTTAGGGATTGGTGAGAGGCACAACACCAGAAAGCTGCTGGGAGCACAGCAGTGACTACAGGTGGCAGACACAGTTGGAGATTTGAAGCTTTCAAGCTTCATTTGAAGTTGAAAGGGGCTTCAAGCAGGAACCACAGAACGAATGTTTTAATATCAAGAAAAAATGTAATGAAAGATTAAAACAGGTGGGTTCAGTCTAGGCAGGAGGGAGTAGATGAGGACAATCATCAGACACACCATGGAATGATATAAAAAGAATAGTGATGAGTTATTCTCCATGTAATTGGCTTGGTCCTTTTGGATTAATTCCATATGGTTGGGGAATAATTAGAATAACAGTGGAATGCTGCAGGAAGCAACTTAAGTTATGGAATCAGCCATATGGGAGATGTCTGAACCACAGGGGGACCAACACCACTTAAGACCAGTCCAGACACATGCTGTGCTTTAAAAAAGGGAAATTGAATAAATGTTTCTACAGCTTCCTTTCAATCATGTGTTTGATTCTATATTTAACATGAACAACCCTTAGGCTTGCATGAAGTCCCTACATTATTTAATATAATTTGAATTTAAAGGAAGAAAAAAGAATTAAATCAAACTATGTAGATTTGCAACCTAAATTTGGCAAAATAATTCAAGTAACTGGATCTTTACATGTTAGCATTGCTGTTCTGTGTTGCCAACATCACTAAAAGCAGCTCAACAAATGTGCCTGCTCTTGCCATTCTTTCTCTGAACAGAAGAATGTTATTAATAAACTGACATCAAAGTAATTTGCTGTATTGCAAACGGTTTTAGATTGCAATTTAGACTAAGTCCTGTTTGTGTATTAGTATTTAAAGGGAACCAAAAGAAAAGACATACAAAAAAGAAACAAGTAAAACCAAAGCCCTAAAAGTATTAATGACAATCTATACTTACTTTCACAAATCCTGGTATTTTATGACTGAGTTCCTGAACACTGCATTTCCAAACCAGACTATTTTATTTTCACTTCTTATCAAAATACCTGTTTGCTTTCAGATTAGCATAAAACCACAGTGTGCAAAGATAGTTTAAAAACTGTGCATTTGACTTGTTGTACAATTGGTGTTCATATGCTTACTGAGTTCTGGAGGCAATTCATTACAGTCATAGGTATAAAAATATAGAATTGTCTTTATTAATGAGGTATGCATTTGTTCAGATCAGGTCTCTTGGGATACAGCCCTCTATTTGGATTTCAGCTGGCCAGCCTTTGTATCTGTTCTTTGTCTGGTCAGAGTGGTTTATCTGTAAAAATAAAATAAATTTAAAAAAAAAATCAGTATCTAGTTTTTTCTATTTATATATTAGTTTCTCAAACCTTATACAAGAGGAGGGGGTAATGAAGGAGGATTGGGAAGTTGAGGAGAATGTTGCACATCTTGCTTAACATAATGGGCGAAGATTCTGCCAGTTCCTCTCTTACACGGAGTGCTTTATTTATTTCACAGATGGCTATCATGATATACACTAAACTGATTATCTTTGTCCAGCAGAAGCTCTGAAATGTGAAGAATATTGCAAAAATATTCTGCACCAACACAACCTAGGAGTGACCTGCTGGGAAAAAGCTCCATGGGGAAGGACCTGAGGACAATGAGCTGTCCGTGCCCAGCAGAGACCAACAAAGCCAACAGTGTCCTGGGATGCATTGGGATGGGCATTGCCAGCAGGTCAGGGCTGATGCTGCCCCTGTGCCCAGCCCTGGGGCACCTCTGGCTGCTGTGCCCAGCTCTGGCTCCTCAGCACAGCAGGGCCAGGAGCTCCTGGAGCTGAGCAAGGGCCTGGAGCAGCTCCGTGCCCAGGAAAGGCTGAGGGAGCTGGGGCTGCTCAGCCTGGAGAGGAGCCCCAGGGAGAGAGAGGGGCTCAGCCCTGCCTGGGCCTGCCTGGGCCTGTGGCTGTCCCTGTGTCTGTCCCTGGCTGTCCCTGTGTCTGTCCCTGTGTCTGTCCCTGGCTGTCCCTGTGTCTGTCCCTGTGTGCAGAGCTCAGAGCAGGCCCAGGCTCTGCTCCAGGCCCAGCAATGGCCCCAGAGCCACGGGCAGGGCCTGAGCCCAGCAATTCCCCTCACAGGAGGCCCAACTTCTGCCCTGGGCAGTGCCCAGCCCTGAGCAGAGACCAGAGGGGCTCTGGGGGCTCCTCCTGGGGACATTCCAGAGCCACCTGGACCCAGCCCTGTGCCCTGTGCTCTGGGACGGCCCTGCTGGAGCAGGGAGGTGGCACCAGGGACCCTCTGTTGGCCCTTCCAGTCTGACCATTCTTTGATCCAGTCATATTCTGGGAAAAGAACCCCACTGTGGAACTTTGACGAGGCTGTGGAGGGAATCAGCATTGTGGTATTTTTGGGGTCCCCAGGATGAAGGAGGAATTGAGAATCTGACTCCCTGTTCCTAGAAGGCTAATTTATTATTTTATGTACTTATATTAAAGAATGCTGTACTAAAACTATACTAAAGAATAGAGAAAGGTTACAGACAGAAGGCTTAACAAGATACTAATGAAAAACCTGTGACTCTCTCCAGAGTCCCAACACAGCTGGACTGTGATTGGTCATTAAGCAAAAACAATTCACATGTTGGATAAACAATCTCCAACCACATTCCAAAGCAGTAAACCCAGGAGAAGCAAACAAGATAATATTATTTTCATTTTTCTTGGAGGCTTCTCAGCTTCCCAGGACAGAAATCCTGGCAAAGGGATTTTTCAGAAAACATGACAGTGACACACCATCATCAAAGGACCTGAACTCTGTGTTGGGTTTTCTCATTTCTGTCTGCCTCAGTCACATGATGAGCACGACTGGGCTTACAGAAACTCAACACAGCAAGGGCACAGATGCAAACAGAAATCTCTGTGAAAAACAGTATCTTTAGTCTTCCTGGAACCTGTGGGCAAGGTATTCCCAAAGTTTTTGGTTTTGATATACACACAAATATAAAGTGAAAATGAAACAAATCTGACCTTTTCTTTTTGGATATAATCTGGCAGAGTGAAGTCTTTGGCAGCTATAAAAACCCAACTTGATCTGAACTTTATAGTCTTTATTTCTTTACTTCCCAGTTCTTCCAATAATTTTTTGGCCTCATCTTTCAACCTAGGAAAACGTGATGAAAAAATGAGTGTTAAAAAAATGAGTGTTCACATTCAGGATGTGAAAAATTATGAAAAAGATCATGGCTGATTCATACTTAACATTCAGCATTAAGCCTGCAGAAGCAAAAATTAGATTTAAATAGTCCTGAGAGCTGTGGTAGCAGCATGACATTGAATTCACAGAGAGAATTGAATTTATCAAATTTTTTCCTTCTCAGTAAGTGACTGATGATAATACAACCTGTTTGTAATAGCATAGCAGAAAGGAAAATGTATATCAAATACTGTCTGGTGCTTCAATCCTTCCTAAATAAGGACAAGGGTATCAAACATGGATTAAGCATTTTCCTGAATAATACCATATTATGAATGGAGCTAAAAATTCCCAAAGATTCAAAAGCACCTGAAAAATCAGATTATGATGGTAGAAGGAATGCACACTAGAGACATCATAATTGGAGGTGTGGATAAATAACATTTCAGAGTAAAGAAGATTGTGACCCAGAGGTAACAGCAAAATTTGGAGTGCTTTTAAACAACATAATATCTACCCATCCTAGGGAGCACCAACACACAGATATGTGCAATCATGGAAAAGTCATGGAATTAAAACTTTTAGACAAGAAGTGAGAGAACAACTCTGATTGTAGAATGGAATTTACCATTCCTTTACACCAATTCCCAACATGAATTTTCCAGCTTTTCACCTCTCTGCCCCGCAGGCTCCATAACCTCCTACCTGGTGCTGCCATCATCTTGAGTGGCCATCAGAAGGAGGGTCCCTTCTGGTGCTTTCCTGATGAAATCCATCATCTCCCCTGAGTGGTCTGTGGAGTCATAATAACACAAATTATTAGAATAACAGAATAAGCAGAATAACACAGCTGGTTATTCCTGGCACACACATCACATTCCTACTCATGCACCCACAGTCACCAGCATTTTTATGGAATCAGGGAATCACCTTCCAGTGCCTCAGAGCATTCTGGTTCTCCTCACTAATAGGGAAGGAAATTTGCCATTCAACGTATAGAAAATGTGTTAAAAGCTATTCTTAAAGTAGATAATCTTTCCAGCTATGTGGATTGATGTTAAGAGACAGATAAGCAAATTTCCTATGATGATTTTATAACTAAAATAAAACAAGATATGGCAGGAAAAGGAATTTTGCTGAGTGAAGTTATCTGGATGTCATATCTGGTTAAGTGCTATTTCTACCAGACTGAAATAATGGAGACCAAAGAAAAAGACAAAACAAAAAAGGGGAAAAGAACAAGATAATTTAACAAAGAAGATCATTAACTATCTCAACCAACAGGAGAAATTCAGCTTTTCAGGCTAAATTTGTCATCATATCTGGCCAGAACATATTTTCTGAATACAGCAGCTGTTTGTTTCTAGCTGATCCCTGTTGAGAATACAAAGTCAAACAGGAAAGAGGAGGATAATTACATGAATCTGTCTTTTCTTAACGCAGAAACACTAACAAAAGCTCTGTTGGACTCTTTTCTTACCTCTTGCCCACATTTCAAAAAATTTTGTCGAAATGAGTTTTCCTGTTTTATCTGTAATTAAAAAAAAATCTAAATATGAGCAAATATTATTTTATTCAATAGGCAAACCTAGAATTTTCAGCTAAAGCTAGACATCCCTAATTTTGAGTATTATTTGGCTTCTTGTGTTTCAGTTCTTAAATTGGAAGAAATATGAAATAATAAGTTTAAGATTTGGGGAGAATATTTTGTTTTGCATGGTCTCCGAATCATCAAAAGTGACTAAATATTTTTATTTCTTCTTATTCAAAATAATTTTCTTGTGTGTGCTTCCATGTTTTTATATCTAAATATACTATAATAGGTCACAGCTGTAGATAGGAAAATTGGTTAAGCCTAAGACTATTTGAATGAGCTTAATTCTATTCTGTGCAGTGTTTGAGATGTTTAACCTTTCATCCATAAGGCACTAATTAAGAACATTCATTATCTTGCCTGATCTAATTAGTGGACATGTAAAAAAATATATTTTGCTACAGACTGGTGCAGGATAATGGACAGATTTACCTGCTCTATTTGCTACCATCTTGCTTGTGCATTCAAGATGAGTATTTCTCCTCTTACTTTCATTTTAAACTCATTTTTGTATTTTATACCCAGGAAAGATTTTATGATTGTTGGAAAAAAAGGGGCAGTAGTTTACTGGGGAAAAATTTGTAATAGATTCTTGTCAGTGGTTAATTTAATCCTCAGCAAAATCATACAAGTTTAGACAAAGTCAAGATCTTGCTTAGCAATAGTGAGACAAAAAAAATTAAAATATAAGTGTTTTGTGATCAAAGCCAGCTTGACTGTGCCTGTAAACTCCCTTTTTATCCCCTCTTCCACAAGATTTAGGCATTCATTTTTTTCCTGGACCCATTATTGAATACACTGCACTTCATCACCCTTCCCATTCATCTAAATCAAAATTTAGGATTTAGGTGCCTCCAAACCTAGAATAAAGCACACCTGCTGCTTCCAGGGCTTTTACTGTAAGCAAATGGCAGTTTAATATTAATTAAAATTTGAGTTTGTCTTTCTATATCCTGAACAAGTCTGGAAAAGGAATTTGTACCATGGCTACACCTTGAGGCAGAACTATAGCTCTCAGTTCCTGCCTCCCCCTTATCAGTGAGCAGCAGATATAATTTATCAAGGACTGAAGTTGAAAGCTGAGTCCTGCTGCTGGAGATCACAGATATTCTCGCTGTACTACAAGTCTTTTGTCTAATAAAATACATCTAGGTGCACATTTTCTATGCTGTTTTCCTCTATTGATTATGAACATGTCTCTTTTGTTTACCCAGAAGACTGTTTTTATCACACAGATTTGTTTTTCTTACATTCATGTGAATCAGGTTTGCAATATTTTCCTTTCCCTTCCATACTAGCTGGTAAAAAACCCCACAAAACAAAATATCCAATCCCCCCACGAACACGGGTAATTTATTGCAGTACAAAAGTATGTGTCTCTTTAACATTTTTTTCCCTTACTTACAATTCACAATGGCAATGATTATGCCACTTTCAGCTTCATAATTCCCTTCATTTATAAACCTGGAATTGAAATAAATACAATATCAGTAAAAGACACCTGTCCAGAAGCTCTGTGCAAAGTTATGTTTACCAGTGCGAAGTAATTTTCTGATACTTATATTTTCTTCAGTTATTTAATTCAAAACTCTATTGTAAACAAGAGCTTAAAAATCTTGCACAGCGTATCAGTAAGTTTCGTTCAACAATGACTCTTTCAAAATGAGCCAGATCAAGAAAATATTTCACACATTTGCAGCCAGGAAGATAAAGGAGGAAAAAAACCCCAAACAAACAAGATGAGGTGTTTTTGTGACTGTACTCTCTGTGGATTATGTCTCCAGGAAAGGTCACTGCAAGGTTTTGAAGTTATTTCACCTGTCCAGTTTGAAAAGCTGTGAAAGAATCTGACTTTCAGAAGGTGCTGAGCAGTCAGAATTCTGTAAATCCTGCACCATGAAAATTAAAAATCCTGCTGAAAACTAACAATTGTCTGCAGCTTATATAGAAGAACAAAGAAAATCACTGGAGATTAGGTTAAAAAAAAAAAAAAGAAAAATACTTAAATACTGGCAGATAAATTCTGAAGTTTTCCACCAGAATGGAGCCCCTGGTAGGAGCTCAGTTGCTGCTACTAAACCCAAACACTTTTAAAAGCACTGGCTTAGGTGTAAAGTTAGAATGGTACTCACTCCTCATCCTCAAAACAAATTTTAGGCCTCCTGTGTTTGGCACCACCACTGAGGATGCGATAGACAAAGTTCCCAGGTGGGCAGGGAGCCCAGAGGCCACACTTCTGCCTTCTGGGGGCTGGGGCTGCAACAGCAAAGAGGAAAAAATGTTTTATTGGATGCTGCATGAACAATTTCAACATGGGATGAACCACCTAAAGCCAACCTGCTGAACTCAAACATCTGAACGCAGAATCCTGGGATTGTGGCAGCTTCATCACAGGTTGGTTTGGGCTGCAAGTTATCACTGATTCCAAAGAGGTATAATCCAAAAAACTTGAAAATAAGATAATTATTATCTGCTATTCCACATAACAGGAAACAAGAGCTACCAGGATGAAGGTTTCCTACCAACAGCTTGAAGTGAATAGTTATCATTCTTATTTTAAGCCCTTTTTTCACACAATAACTTAGTCATAGAATGACAAAAATATACACAGTAAACCACCTGGTCAGAGTAGAGCTAAAAAATAATGAGAATTTACTTACAAAGTTTAGTTAGTGGTTCAGCTGTTTATCATAAATATAAATTACGTGTAATAGAAACAAAGCTGCAGCTTTGCACTCTTTTGCCCACAAATAAATTAGTTGTTCTTACATCAGTGCTCAAATAATTACTTTTGTACATTTGCAAAACTAGGCTGACATTGTGTTTCTTCAAAAACAATGTCTAAGAAAAGGTTTAGCTTTGCTTTAATTAACTTTACAGTCAACTTCACTCTTATAATAGCACATACCAAATGATTCCTTAGCTAACAAGCCATTTATTATTTAGCACATAAACACACAATATCAGATACAGTATAAGAAAGAAAAAAAAAAGAAATAAATACAACAACATACCCCTCAACACTGGTTTCTTTCCAATCTCTTGAAGTGCAGCAATAGATACTGTATTTTGGGGTACATGAACAGCAAGAAAGTATCCCAAATACCAAGCAGCCAAGGATGCCAACAGGAATCCAAATAATCTCAGAACAACTGTGAAGGAGAAAATAAAAAGGATAAAAACCCACCCAACAAAAAACATAAAAATGTTTTCAGAGCAACACAAAAAATCTTGTTATTTTTTTCTGGCACTGCTACCCAAACTGGCTGGTTTTTGTTTGATTCACTGTGCTAACCACAGCCTTCAGAGATGTGGCAATGGAGTATTAGGTGAATTCCTATCTCCAAGGACAACCCCTTTTGTTTCTAAAACTTGATCTTCAAGCAGAAAATTCCCCCAATCACTCTCTTCTATGCACATCCATAGCACCTCAAAGAAACACAAAGTTTAACTCAATCCTTGTAGGATTTTTGACTCTGAAAAGTAAATACTGGGTACTACAGAGGTGTTTTGCAGTTACTGTTGATTTTTTGAGACATGCAAACACTTCAGGAATTGTTTTAAATACTGAGCAAGCAGGGAATTTTCTGCACCCACATTTTTAACATGCTGGGTAAAAACAGCATAGCCCAAACAATCCCCTTCACACAATGAGCTCTCACTGCATTCACAGAATCACAGAATGATCTGGGTTGGGAGGGACCCTCAATCTAATTAATTAATTTAATTTGCCCTTCTTTCAATGAGCAGGGAATTCTTCCGCTGCATCAGGCTGCTCAGAGCCCTGCCCAGCCTGACCTTGGGTATTTCCAGGGATGGGACAGCCACCTCCTTCCTGGATAACCCGTGCCAGTGTTTTAGCACCTTGTTGTGGAAGGCTTCCTCCTCCTATTAAATATCTGCTTTTCCTCAACACCAGAAGTGCTGATGGCTTTCCTGATGAAACACACCACCTAATTTATTATGCTAAAGTAGGAAATATTACACTGCAGCAGTGGAATAGGTTGTTTTAGAGGCATGAGTCACTTCCTGATCTTCAAAGAACCATCCTTCAAAACAAGGGTCTGTTAAAGTGAAAGTTATTCATTTTGTAGTCCTGAAAACTGATTTCAAAAGGACCAATGTCCAAAACTATGCAGTATGTTTACTTTGCCAGCTCTCTAGAAAATATCTTGTATTATCCAGTCTGAACCTTCCTTATAACTGTTTACACTCATGAGATAATTCTCTCCTTTCCTTGTTTGAACTGCCTTTTATAAACATTAAGATTTCTGCCCTACCCTTTCTCTAGAATAAGGCCAGATTTTTCACTTGTCTTCCTCAAGTCCTGTTTTGCAATTTCTGCTACTCCTGTGAATTCTGCCCAATTGGTCTGCATCCAAATTCTGAAAAATTCTGTTATTCTAGTTATTCATGCCAGAAGGAACTTTGATTTTTTTTTCCATAAGAGCAGACTTTATTCACACAGGTTCTGTTGATAATCTACCATAAAGACAGATTTTTTCCTCTCTAGCTACTCCCTCTTTGTATTTCTCCACGTGGTTATTCCTGCATTCTCCCAGCTTTAAAAATAAGAAGCCCAATGAAACATTGCAGAAACATTTGTGTGACTGCAGGGAAAATATTGTGAAAACTTACTGTGTTTTCATCAAAGGAATAAGCTTGAGTAAGTAATGTAATGGATCTTCAGCTATTATGAATTTCCCTACGTATTACTCATGAGAAATCTCTCACTCCACCACGAGTAGTGGTGCAAACCCACACTAAAATAATACTGAAATTACTCTGACATGTCATTTGAGCAGTAATGTGAGCACAAACACTGACAAAGTCCACATGCACAAATCAGGAAGCTACTGGAACCAAGCAGAATGACCTTAGCTCTTTTTCAATATTAAAAAAATTTATCAGATTTATGCACAAAATATATTTCATTAATACAGGAGGCCAAGTCACAAGTATCAAAGACAAAACCCTGGAAGAATGAAGGGAAAATGACAATTTTATTGAGAGATTTTAGTGACTATTTCTGGGGACAGGATGGGGCGTGGTGCATTGCAATGTATTTGCACTATTTTTCATCATTATTATGGAGCAACTGTTGCAAAACAGGCTTAACAGTGCAGCCTTTTATCTAAATAGAAGAGAAAGTACAATGTCTAACTGCTGTTATGCCTGATGTTCCCTGGTGGAAATCATGGAACAGATTATCCTGAGTGTGATCACGTGGCACAAACATGATAACCAAGGGACCAGCAAGGGTTTAGGAAAGGCAGGTCCTGCCTGACCAACCTGATCTCCTTTTCTGACCCCCCTGGGGGATGTGGGGAAGGCTGTGGATGTTGTGTGCCTGGACTTCAGCAAAACCTTTGACACCATCTCCCACACATCTGGAAAAGCTGCAGCCCGGGCCTGGACAGGTGCATCTTCCCTGGGTTAAGAATTATCTGCTCAAGGGGTGTTGGGGGATGGTGCCACACCCAGTCCTGAGTGGTGTCCTCCAGGATCAATTCTGGGGCTGGTCAGGTTCAATGCCTTTATTGATGATCTGGGTGAGGGGATCAAGGGATCAACTGCACACTCAGTTTGCAGACAACACGAGGTTGGGTGGGAGTGTTGATCTGCTGGAGGGCAGGAAGGCTCTGCAAAGGGATCTGAACAGGCTGGATCAATGGGCTGAGGCTTGGATCACGAACAGGGTGGCCACAGGAGCAGGACCTGCCTGTATTGGGCACTGGTGAGGCCACACCTCGAGTCCTGTTTCCAGTTCCGGGCTGCTCACCACAAGAAAGGCATTGAGGGCCTGGAGTGTGCCAGAACGGAGCTGGGCAGGGGCTGGAGCCCCAGGAGGGGCTGAGGGAGCTGGAAGGGGCTGAGGCTGGAGCAAAGGAGGCTCAGGGGCCCTTGTGGCTCTGCACAAGGCCCTGCCAGGAGGGCACAGCCGGGGGGTCGGGCTCTGCTGCCAGGGAACAGGGACAGGAGCAGAGGGAGCGGCCTCAGGCTGGGCCAGGGCAGGCTCAGCTGGGACAGCAGCAGCAATTTGCCCATGGAAAGGGAGCTCAGGCCTTGGCAGGGGCTGCCCAGGGAGCTTTGCAGTGCCCATCCCTGCAGGAGTGAAAGAAACAACTGGTTGTGGCACTCAGTGCTGCTCTCCATTTCACAGAGTGGTGATCAATCAAAGGCTGGATTTGATGATCTTGGAGGTTTTTCCCAACCTAAATAGTTCTGTGAACCTATAATATATTCTGTATTTTATTTAGAACACAAGCTTCTTAAAAGTTTTTTGAAATATGCCTTTTAAGGCTCAATAGATTTCCCAATTCTCCTGCATAGTTTGTACCTTTTAAAGCTCACAGAATATTTTCACTGCCAACCAACTTTTGATTTTGCTTTTTGGGACTCAGAAGGCATCAAGAGACCTCACTGACCCAAATTGCTGGGTCCAGCTGGCTCTCTTAAGTTTACTGAGGTTATTTATCCTGCACACATACATTCATTTTTGGGTTTCTCCACAGTGCAAACCTCTACACAGTTAACAGCAAAGCCATAAGCTCAGACAAAGTTAAGGTAATCGAGAGCACAATAAAGCACAATAAAGCACAAAGTGCAGCCTGCATGCAGGGAAGGCAGACTGTGCTCTTGTTGATATTGGAGGCTGTGTTTGCTCAGCACCAAGGAGCACCATGGGGACACTGAGCTGCAGAGGTGTTGCTGTGCCTCCCTCATTCCATTTCTGCCATGGAGGAGCTCCCTGAGAGTTCCATCTTGTCACTGTCATGAGGCAGGGACACTCACGATACTCACAGTGCCAGGCAGAGGAGGTGGCAGAGAGAAGCCAGGAGGAAGGACAGTCAGGATGGAGGTGTGGCAGGACATGTAAAACAGCAGAGCATAAGGAAAAATGACAGAATCACAGATTATCCCGAGTTTAAAGGGACCCACAAGGATCATCCAGTCCAACCCCAACAATCCCACCCTGTGCCTGAGAGCATTGTCCAAACCCTTACAGAGCTCTGTCAAGTTCAGTGCTCCCTTCTTCCCTGGGGAGCTGCGCAGTACCCAACCACCCTCTGGGTGAAAAACCCTTCCCTAAAATCCTAATATCTCCCTATCCTACTATCTCCTCTCCCCTGAGAGAGTTTCCTGCCCTTCCCTCGTGTCCTGTGTCAGTATTTCCACCTTTCAGCAGCTCCTCATTTCCCTCGACCCTCAGGTGCCTCTTGGCAACAACTCAATCACTAAATGCGAGCCCAGTGCTGGGTTATTCTGTATTTAGCTGATCCCAAACCCCCACGCAGCCACACCTCGCTAACACACACGCAGCGGGGCTTGAACACAGGAAAAAAACTAAAAAAATGAGGATATATTTAAGACTCGAGCATGACTTATTCCAGACTAAGAGCTGGGGTTTGAGCCAGCATCAGCCCTCTCGCCCCTTCCCCTTGGCCATGGGGGTCTCATCCCGCCCGGAGCGGCTCCGGGGCGCATCCTACTCACAGTGCCGGGTCAGCTTCATTATTCCTCCTCCTCCTCCTCTTCCTCCTGCCCGTCCCTCTCGCAGCCTTCCCCTGCCAGCACCGGGAAGACAGCGGGAAGGGGAGCGGCCGCCTGTAAGCGCCGCACCGCCCCGTTAAACAACTTTAAATTATTCTGCTCAGAGAGCACCCAGCTGGCCCGCGGGACAGGAGAGCACATGTGCCACTCATTTCCTTCTTTTTCCTTTTCCTTTCCTTTCCCCCTCATCCTTCCCTTTCCCCTTTCCTTTCCTTTCCTTTCCTTTCCTTTCCTTTCTTCCCCTCTGTCTTTTTTCTCTTTCTTTCCTTTCTCTCTTTCTCTCTCTCTTTTCTCTTTCTTTCCTTTCTCTCTCTCTTTTCTCTTTCTTTCCTTTCTCTCTTTCTCCCTTCCTTCTTTTCCCTTCTCCTTTCCTTCTGTGCTGTGGGTCCTCACAGATCATCTGCTCCCAACCCCACTTCCATGGCCAGGGAACGTCCCCCTGTATCAGGTTACTCAGGCTTAGGACACTTCAGGAATGGGGCAGCGCCCCACCACCCTCACAAGGAAGAATTTCTTCCTAATATCCAACCTAAACCTACTCTCTTTGAGTTTGGATCCATTCTCTAGGTGAACCAGTTATTTTTGAGTCTGTTGAACCTAAGCCAGGGCTTTTTCAATTGGAAACCCCTCCTCCTTTTTCCACCCTTTGTCACAGCTCTGGGATGACACAATTTCCAACATGAGCCTATCCTTGGCTCATCTTTTCTTGTGTACCAGGTGTTGTGCACCATCACCAGGGGGTTTCCTTCCTGCTGGGCTAGCTCGGTCACTAATTTTCATTTAGAAAACTGTGGTGTGACCACAGTTTTCTCCGTGTCTGGATTGAAGGCACTTGAGACAGTAATTCATGTTCACACTCAGGTGTTTATTATTTCTTATCAGTAAAACAGTCTCACTACTGTGAGTTCTGCAGCTTTTCATTAGAAGGCACAAAATGGCAACAATCTCTTGGTACAAGGGCTTTTAAGACTAAACTATCCAATGAAGAACTGACACCTGGATTATTTTCCCTTTTAACCCAATAACTGATCCCACAGAGCTGCAATGGGGACTTTTCTGCCCAATTACAAAATGCCACCCAAACCCATGGAGAAGGAGGAAGAAGCAGCATGAAGAAGAAACCCAGGACAACACCCTGTGCCCTCCATCTTGCTGCCATCCACAACACACTAAAAATCCCAAATTTCTCACCAAGTGATACACCTACACTGCTCTCTATAATCTATTTCACACTTTTGTGGATTCCAGTCTATCTTGAAGTTTAGGAAACTTTCTCCATGACTGAGCGTCAGAGTCAGTGCTGCCCTGAGCACTGGGTTTCCACAGAAAACCACTCAAACGACTCTGTGATTCTGCAGTTGCCCTTAAAACCTCTCAGATTTAGTTTCCACTAAGCTCTTTCATTCCCTCTGCATCTAATGATGCACAAGAATGATATTTAGCTCAGCAAACAGATGAATAAATCCTGCAGGAGGGCTCATATAGGAACTGCAGCCAGAGTGGGGCTTTTGCATTCCTCCCAGGGCACTGCTGAAAGCCATAAATGTTTGCAGTCCCTGCAGGAGAAGTGTTTCTTGTCCTTGTCTGTGAGTTGTATATTATAATATCCTGTAAATTGCAGGTAAAACCTAAGGGAGTAATTGCTGCAGGTTATTTTCAAATGTACTGGAGCTTGCAAATGAAAAAGCAACGTCCCACAAAACCTGGGTGTGTGAATAATTAAAGAGGTAACATGGGACAAATAAACTTAAGCAATGAGAAGCATTGGACAGAAAGTAAAAAGAGTTATGAGGTGGCAAGAGGAAGATGAGGACAACCTTAGTCTCTGACATACTTTTTAAAATATGAAGTTACTTCTGCAGGAAGTGTTAACCTGCATAAGAAAATGATGCCTCTGTTAATAAATGATTGAAACTGTTGAAGACTGCACTTCTAGCCCTTAAAGTAATAATAATCCAGCTCTAAACCCAAAACATGGTGTGGTAACCATATGAAAAATTCATGTCTTTTTATTAAAGCAAGGAATATTAACTAGGAGTTGGGATAATCTAATTTTGAAATAAATTTATTGTTTGAGTAGTGGTGGGTCACAGATTCCATACGGAAAAAATTTAAGCCCTTAGGAACTTTGTCACCACCTCAATACAGTGAAAAACCCACTTCACTGGCCATCAGTGGCTATAGGAAAAAATGAAATTTTGCCTGCTTTTACCCACAAGAAAAGTGTAGCAGTTTCTTTTTAATTACTGCCTAAACTACATGGAATTACACCCAGGCATTTGCTTCAAATCCTGGTTTGCTGGGCTGCCAAATCCCAGGGACCCAGTGACTGAGGGGATTTTAAGGATGCCTAAGGACAAGGAAAATCTAAAATGTTTTACTTCATGTATCTCTTTTGTATCTGCAAAAAAACCCCAAGCTACACTTCTTTCTTTAGTGATTAATCAAAGATGTGGGGTGCAGAACCCTTCTGAAGGGTCGTTTCTGATTTCATCCTGCAGGCATTCATTCTGTAATTTGAAATCTTAAGGGAAAAACTTACAAAATATTAATCTGCACTCTCAATTCCTGTGAGGCTCTGAGACCCTTTAGTGATAAGCAGGACAGGAAATCTACTCAGGAAACAAATGATACCGAATGGAGCAGCTGAGTGCATCTACAGGGTCTTACTCTTGTCTTATCACCACAAAACCCAGTCAGCAGAGGAGGTTTATGGTCTAACCCAGTTAAAACTGCACCAGCCAGTTCCTGCTTGCCCTTTGAGCCGTGGCACCAACAGAGAGATTTTCTGCATCCACCTCACTTGGCTGACAAATGAGCAGAAGTGTCACGCCAGCCCTTGTAAGAATTTAATTTGTGTTTTCTGCTTGCCCACAAATGGCCAGCAGTGGATTTCCCGTCCTGCCAGAACAAGTTCAAAGAATTTAATGATTTAAAAGGAAGGCAGAGTTAGCAAGGCAGGGGGAGAACGTTGGACTAAATCTTTGCTTGTAGAGCTCAGAATACCTAAGAAAATAGACCTCCTACATAAAATGTGCAACTGGTGTCTAATTTTACCTAAGACTCGGGGCAGACAAGAACACGCACATGGACAACAGGGGCAGCAGTGTGGAAAAGCAGTTATTTAATTCACCCATAATTCACCATGTGCCTGTACCACAACTCAGCATCCTGTGTGCTGGTGACATGAAGGGGAACATAGAGAAATAGAGATGTAAATGTCTATTGTATTAAAATTACTGTTGATTTTTGTTTGTTTTTTTCTGGTTTTTGTTTGTTTCTTTGAGTTTTTTACCCTCCCCCCCCCCTTTTTTTAAATACCTTTACTGTCTATGAAACCCAGGAGCATATAGTTAAAACAAGATGAGAACTTTTAGATACTTCTTTTGTGGATATAAAGGATTAAATTCGCCTTCCCCGAGATAAGCAAAAATGGGTCATTTAACAAAGGGCAAAAAGCAAGCATTGATTACTTTCAGCTGATGAGCTGGAAAACCTGTAAATTTGTGAGTCTGGGGTATTTCTGGCCTGCTGAACAACAAAGGTGGGGCTAATTTGTGTGTTTTTCTTCTGTTTTGTTAATCCAGAGAAACATATGGAGAATATATTGAATTGCACTTGATCCAGATAGAGGTGATACATCAGCAGTCAAAAATAAATCAGCAGGTAAAAATCAGTATAAACCACAAGCCCAGAGAATGTTCAAGTTGTCCAACAATAAAAAGAATCTCATTCAATAAGAGTACAGAAAGCTGAAAGTAATGTTAAATTTACAATTAAAAAGCACTCAAGGGAAAAGTAAATAGTATTCTTATTCATAGTACTTCAGAACAATTCTGGGTGCATGAAAATAATTTGAAGAAACATAATACCTTGTCTATTCATAGAAAGCAGTCTCATCTAGCTAACAGCTGTAAAAATTGTAAAAATCAATACTCTAATATTTGTGTAGGCACTGGCAGCAGAGATCCTGTATTCTTTACAATAACCTGTATTTCTTGGTGAGAGCTATTGAATTCCCTAGCCAAACAGATGATGAGTCAAGGTGTAGGCAAGTGGTACTTGTCAGCCTCTACAAGGAAAAAAAAACCCCAAAGAAACCACAAGCCATTTATTTTTAAAGAGTTTGTTTTGGTGGAGAAAGGGGAGAATAGTAAATGTTTACTGTTTAAGTGGCCATCAGAATTACACATTGTACTGGAAATTACACTGAGCACTTGCATTGCCAACCTTCACATATTCGTGTACACTCCACTGTCATTATCAAAAAAAGCTCTATTCTTGCAACAAATTCTTGCTTTTGTGTTTCACACACAAACTTTAAAGCTGTTTTGTCTAAACAGGCCAGTTTTCATGGGCATAGAAGAGCAAGGGTGTGGTGGTGTTCACAGGGGTCCCAGGATGAGGGAAAAGAGGGGAACCTCGACTCCATGTTTCAGAAGGCTGATTTATATTTCATTATATATATTATATTAAAAGAAAATGATATATTAAAACTGTAGTAAAAGAATAGAAGAAAATATTTTATCAGAAGGCTAGAAAGGAAGGAAAGGAGTAATAATAAAATCTTGTGACTGACCAGAGAGTCCGTGGAATTTGATTTGCCATTAATTAAAAACAACCACATGAGACCAATCACAGATGCACCTGTTGCATTCCACAGCAGCAGATAACCATTGTTTACATTTCATTTCTGAGGCCACTCAGCTTCTCAGGAGAAAAATTCTAGCAAAAGGAGTTTTCTTAAAATATGTCTGTGACACAAAGGAAGAGTGAACAAACAGTTTTGCAGTTTTGGATTCAATGAGCCTGAAGTTTGAGGGCACTCTGAAGATGATGGTAATTTCAAAAGCATAAAAGAAGTTTAAGCACAAGAAAAAGAATGAAAAGTTGTGAGTAGAGCTGTGTAACAATGGGATCATGGAATGGTTTGGAAGTGGATTTTAAAAATCATCCAGTTCTGATATGGGCAGGGACAATTTTTTCTCTAGAACAGGTTGCTCAGAGCCCCATCCAACACTTGAACACTTACAGGGATACAGCATCCACAACTTCTGGGGGTCACTTGTGGCAGTAATGAAGAAGCTTCACTGAATATCAAGACAGAAATAACCAAAACCTGCCAGCTTTGAAGGAAAAAATATTAAACAGTTGGTGCCATTCCATGTTACTTGACTAATGCCCTAAATTTACAAGATTCACAATAAATACATTGTGCTGCCTTAAAAAAGCTCAGGGCTTAAAATAATGGACTTTGTAAAGAGGTGTTTAGGTGGGGGGAAGAGGGAGATGATAAATGAGCAGAAGACCCTAAGTTAAGGATCTTTGAGGTTGGATATTAAAAAAAGAAAATGAAAGGAACTTTTAAGGGAATTCAGACAAAAAACCAGAAAGTGCTGAAAGGGCTTGAGGCTTTGTGCAGGCTGCCCTAGAGCGGAGGCTGGACAGAGCTAAAGAATAAAGCAGGCATTTATGAAAAGCATCTCCTCCATGGATGCACCTTGGGCAGCACCAGAGCCCAGCCAGGGCTGCACCCAAGATGAACCAAAATGGCCCCAAAATGCACGGCCGGGCACGGGATCTGTCCCTGGGATCAGTTCTGCTCCATTTGCACCTTGCAGTTCATTGTCCCATTCCAGCTTTAGCCCAGCCAGTCCCACCCTGCTTGTTTTTCTCTCTCCAGCCCACGGGGTTTGTGCTCCTGGGCTGAGATTTGGGTCATTTGTCCTTGGTGCCCAGCTGGAGCAGGAATTGTTTTGTCTCCCTGCTCTGTGCACAGAGCTCACCATGCCCTTTAGTGTGCAGAAGTGCACACAAAAGCAGCTCATAATTTGAAAATAGAAAAGTTAAACCTGAGGTATCGGGTTTCCAAGAGCTGGAAAACGCCGCTTGGGCTCCACCTGGTGAGGAAAGAGAGCGGAGCAGGGATTGGGGACAGGGACAGGGATTTGTGTCCCTTCCCCATCCGCATCCCAGCCCTAAGTCTGAACCCATCAGCAGCTCCACCTTCTCAGCTTCACGCTTTCTCTTCTCGGTTCTGAAATGAAAAGTTGAAGCAGGATTATCTGTAATTCGGGAATAAACTGGAAAAAATCACCTCGGAGCTAAACTTGGCTGCCTCCCCCTCCTGCCAGCATCAGAAGGGATCCACATAGCCAGAAGTTGGAACTGAGAGTCACAGGAGGAATTTGGATGGATATAATTTATCAGCTTTGAAGTTCTTCCTAACAGGATTTTAAAAGACACACAGGATAGGTTGAAAGAATTAATCATTTATTTTACGCAGCATAAAATCTGATTTTTTTTTTTTTTTTTTACATAGTGTTTATCTGAAAATGGCAAGACCTGAAAGTACAAAGTATCAATTTTTGGAAAACTGAATAATGAGGCTTGACATTAAGTGGGACAGAGATCCTAACATAACCTGAAGATTGAATTAGAAAGACTATACCCCCTTGTTCCAAAGTTTGATCCCATTTTCTTTTCAGTCAATGTTAAAAACATTGTCTAATAAAAACAAAACAAAACAACAGGTGAAGAAATGCCTCTGTAAGTTGACCTTAAAGGTGAAATCCTTTCCACACTTCCTGAATAACATAACAGTTATTGTAGTGTTAAAAGTCTTACAAGATCTCTGCATCTCCATATAAAATTTGCAATAAAAAAGGTGAACTGCCTGTTTTCAGGTAAGTCTTCAACACTGAACTTTGTGTAGTTTATGCACACACAGAGTATTGGCTATGAAAGCAATTTTTCCAGCACATATTGCAATAATCCGTGCCTTTGTGCTATCAAGAAATTGTCAGCTGTCTTTTCATTACCTCTAAGCATTCTCAACTCTGGTTTTTATACCACAGAATTTTCCAAAGGACAACCATGCTGCAAATAAAGCCATTTAAACATTCAGCTCCATAATCCCTCTCTGAAAACACAGGAATAAACATGCCCTTTTCAGGTTTGACTTGTGAAAATGTGAAAATTTCCCTCATCAGAGTGGGACAGGATGGGAGGATTGTTACAAACAATGTCTTTATTCAAGTGTTTTGCCTAAATACACATTGCTGTAAAATCAGACAAACTCCGTTGCTCAGATGGAGTTTTTAGGACAAAAAATGTCATGGATGGAGCTCTCAAAGCTCCTTGTGGTTCTGCTCTCCACCTCTGTACTTCCTGAGGATGGAGAAAAAGGAGAATATACAGGACCAGGGCATATTTCCAAGTGGGATGTGAAAAAAGTCCAGGGAATGTAGTGAAATGCACAAAGGAGCTCTTGGCACAGTAAAATTCAGGGACCATTGGCACAGGTAAAGTTTTGGCTCCAATCCTTCTCCTAATAGTACTGCAAGTGTTTTCTACCTAGTTATTTTTTAGAGCATCAAGGAACTGCTTTAAAACAGGCCTGTGAATGGTAAACAAGAAAAATATATCTTTTGTTAGCTAAAATTGGAAAATTTTTAATCTTTTAGCAACTTTTTTGGGGGGAGGGAATGAAAAGGGGTGAATGGCCTAGAAGACAAATCAGAAAAATCAGAGTTACAACCAGCAAATTAGTAGGACAGCAAATATGCTAAAATATGTTTAAGTGATTGTTATAAAATTAAAAATAAAAAAAAAAAAAGGAAGAGAGCACTTATTGAGGGCTACTTCTTTTTAAATTCTAAAATTTACCTTTTGTGTTTTACTTTTTGCCTAGCTCAAAAGAAATTCTGTGTGTGCCTTCATGGTCCAACCTAAAAAATTCCCAGTATTTCAAAGACTACCTGACCACAAAGACCCAGGCAGATACAAACCATTCTTATATTACCACTGCACAGTCATTGATATCAGCATGTTTTATGATTTCCTGTCCTGCTGTTTCCAGATGCCACTGCTGGGGTGAGAAACAGCACTGAGTTACACGGAGAGGGGAATATTCAGCAGCTGGGCAATGATCCTGCCTAAAGATGGTTGTGTCCTGTGTTCACCTGGGAGGGGATAATGCCCAAGAGCGCCAAAAGGCACCTTGGAGTGCTGGTTTCCAAAATATTCAGGCAGGTGGAGCCTTGCCAAAGGAAATGGGGGCTGTGGGATGCTGCACCTACAGCAGCTGCTGTCTCCATGTGGCTTTTGTGGTTTGGAGCCTCCTTGCCCAGGGGTTTGGCTGAAGGCAAGTATTTCTGCTAGCATTCCCAAAGAGAGGGAAGAATTCCCATAACCAGGATGCTGGATTACTGCCAAGCCTGGATTAGCACCTAATGAAGCCTCAAAAGCCAGCAAATCTAACTGGCTCAGAAGATTGCTCCTATCCTGTTACCAACTTGTCTTCACTTCTCTCAACAGCAGCCAGAAATGAACAATTTATCAGTCAGAGAGTCAAGTCTGACAGGAACTAATGTATTGATAAAAAGTACAGCCTTTTCTGAAAAGGATCAATCTGTTATGCTCTTGCAATTTTTAATAAAGCTAAAGGCATCTTATTTATTTTTCTCTCTGTAATTCCTTTTAATTGCACCTCCATAGGTCACTGTACCAGCACCTTTCATTACATCACTGATATTGCTATTTCTGTTTGTGTCTGAGATGAGGATATGACAGCCAACACCAGCCCAGTTGTTGGAAACCCCGTATGGAAATCAAAAAAACTTTCAGCAGCACAATCATGTTTTAATATTGGAAAATTTAAAGATCTCTCTTTCTCTCCCTGGCAATGTGCAGTGCTATGCAACTCTCACAAGCCTTTTAATATTTAAAAGGAAAAGCTTGGTAGACAAATGGCTCATCCTTCAGTAAGATAAAGGCAGCCAATACACAGCAAGGAACAGGATCAGGTTGATTTTTGCTGATGAATTTTACAGCTGTTGACAACAGGAGATACCAAAACCCCTTGATACATTGCATTTAGGATGACTCAATATGCACATCCTAAACACAATCCTTCACCTTAAAAACAGAACAATCCCCTCCACCTAAGTGCTTTTACAGCGCCTGAACAAAAGCCTCATTAAAATGCTTCATCTGTTTCCCTTAGCATTTAAATTGCTCCAAAACACCCATGACAATATTTCTAAAAGGCAGCGGGATAGAATGAACCTATTCCCAGGGCTGGGCTGGGGTTTAACCACTGGAACTCCAACCACACCCCCTCCAATCCCTGGTGATGGCACCAATGGTTTCAAATCACCTGCAAGGCTGCAGCCAGGGCAATGCAGCTTCCTGACACTTTCCTGGGACGTGGTGCTGCATTCCCATCAGGGGAGAGCTGGCTCAGCAAGAAATATTGATATTTCTTACAAGGGATGGTTCGGAGAGCTATGATTTGGAGCATCCTGTCTTTCATAATAAAGGATATTTTTCTGTACCATCTTTATTCAATACTCTTTTTTTCATTCCCCTTCCCTCCTTTTTTTTTTTTTTTTTTCTTTCTCCTTAAGGTGTGGTTTATTCTTACACCTGAAGTTAACAGGAACATAATATACCTCACAACATATATATTTTTTTGAAATATATCAGGCAAAGAGATCACTGTGAGTTACCAAGTGACTACACTTGGTTATGGCGTAGTCTATCACTGTGTTTCATCTTCCACACAAAACTGCTCGAGAGTATTATTTTTCTTAATGTGTTGTAGGCTAAAAATGAACCCTCAAGGGTTTCCATTGCTCTCCTTGTTGCCAGAGCAACAAAGCAATGCTCACCTGAATTTCTGCCACTGTAACTATCAATTTACAAGCCCAGATGAAGTTTGTGCTGCTCGCAGGTGTCACTCGCAGCATTTTTACTACAAGCCACATTTTTAGTGTGAAGGAATGCCAGGAAAACTCAAGAATATATCAGTATTACTACTTGCTTATTGCTCCTCTTAATTCAAGTGTTTCCCTTCAAATATCTTGACCAAGGACATTCAAAGGGAAAGGGTAATACTTAAATCTTTATATGAAATCCAGAAAGTCACGATGCAGGGTATTTGGTGGGATTTTCAACAAAAATTTGTTCATCAACTCAGAAGAAATCTCTTTAAAAAGCCTATTCAGAACCTTTCCCAAGAAATTCCTTCCTAAAATTCTTTGTGGTGAGGACATAGGAGGTTCTGAGGTGAAGGGAGCAATGATGAAACTTTTTAAGAGCATACAAGTTGTTTTCACTTTCTGAATTGAAAGAGGGTTTATTGTTTAACACTGTCCATCCAAAATCCATATGGTGTTTCTGTTTGAAACAAGTGACAGAAGCATAACTTCTATTGCCATACTGTAGAAAAAGGAGGAATACAACTCTGGAGTTATTTGTTACGTGTAAAACCAAAGCCAGGAGGACGACGTGGAACTCTTAATTAAAAGATATTAATAAAGAGATATGGAAAATAGAACACTGAGAAAACAGTTAAGCTCTATGGCTTATTTCATGTAATTCACAATTTTTCTCCTCTTAGAAACTAAGAGACAGAGGAAGAAGGAGACAAGCTCGAAATTCCTTCCTGTTTCCAACTTCAAATTCCACTAGAAATCATTTTCAGACGTTGGATCACAGCATCAATTATTTTACTCCACTGAGCCAAGCAATCTGAAAGTGCAAGAATTGAAAAGAAAATCAGAGGCACTTCCAGTTATGACATGAAAGACATAAGGTAGTTAAAAAAAACAACCCCACAGTGTTTTATTTTCACACACATGATGTGCACTTCTGTAAATGCACCATTCCTGAAAAAAATTAAAAATCTTTCCTTATTCCATGCAGAGTCAGATGCAGAGGCAGTGTGAATCACAGAGCTATATGAAGGGATTTTGGGCAAAAAAATCCCTAGGCAAGGGATTGAGAAATTCAGAGCTAAGCTTTTTTTTTTTTTTTAATTTCCTCATTTCCCATACAGATATGCAAACTGGTCTGCTATCAAAATGAAAACGAATATTTTTTCCTTTTTTTAAAATGTATAAAAAACCCCTCAGCCTTGCACTCTTTCCAATACAAAAACTTAGGCCAGTGTTACAGAGAAGCCTGAAACTAGAGAAAAGAAAAATTGTCCTATCTGCAAAGAAAACACCTCATTCCTACCTCAGCATGATGATCCGCACTTGCAGGATGGAAGCCTGGTCAATACACCCTCCCCTGCTCTCTCCCACTATTGTCTCCAGTCCCACCACGTGTTTGTTTTCAGGCAGGACACACACACACTTTTCATTTGATTGATGCCAAACTGAACACCTCAAGCTGAAAAACAAGCCAGCATAAAGACTTTCACTTCACAGCCTGTCCATAAAGATAGGTGCTTCTCCTTTGAATTTCTAGGTTGCTGAGCTCAGCCAAATTAAAACAAACCAAAAAGTTGTCATTCTTATTTTGTTTTCTTTCTGTTACACTCTCTCTAGAAATACAGCAGAACACAGACCTTGCTGTCTTGTCTGTCCATACATATGCAGATCAGCCTTTTCTAAAGATCAAACTCAGAAAAAAACCAACAAAAACCCCACACAAGAGGGGGAAACTGAACGGTTTCTTTTTTTTTTTTGGTGCACCAAAGTGGAAAGTCATGAAGTATTGATTTTTATAAAATCCCAAAAAATTCAAAGCCAAGTAGTTCCATTTGGTTGTATGGAGCATCTTTTGTGCTTCAAAACCAGTTCTAATCCACACACTCACCAGTGGTAGCATCCTTGTAAATTAAGAGAGGTAGTCTTGTTTTACTCTAAGGCTGAACAAGTTTGTTTCCCAGTTTTCACCACCTTGGACTATATTTTGTTACAGCTCTCAGGGAGGGTGACCCTCTCAAGTGGCAGCAGTGATCTTGAGGGAAAGAAACCACAAACCAACATTTCTTCTGGATCTCCCTTGCTTTTTCTCTGCTGCTTAAGTCTGACTTTCCTCCCTCCCCCAAACCATAAGCACAGTTTCAAAAAAAACTGATGTAAACAGAAAGCAGTATTCATTTAATGCAATTAATAAGAAAGATTATTATTTTTTTTCTCTTTTTCTACAGTCAGGACTCGATTAGTTAGGAAATACTGACACCTCCTTTTTTTTTTTTGTGAAGGAGAGATGGACAATTTTGTTCAGACAGTGGAAGAACATCATGGTGTGGCTTTTTATCTTTTTTTAAAATTTTTTTTCCATTTTTTTTTTAAAGAAGGTACTGTAGAGAGCATAAAGGCTCCTTGTACTGCAGTAGCAAATCCAGTACCGTAGCACTTCAGAGGTGGTTAACAGTGCTTTGGTTCAGAACCGGTGTTAGAAAATAAAGCTATAAAAGTCACGATGCAGGGGATTTGCTGAGAATTTCAACAGCGTGTTTTAGGAACGTAGGAGGGACTGAGGAGGCATTGGCTTCTTCCCCTTGGCAGAGCTCTTTGTCCTTGGTCCCGTTTTTGAGTCTGTTTTTGGGATCCAGCCTCTCACTTCCAGCGGTGGCGCACGAGGGAGGACTCGTCGTTGACCACGTCGTTGTCGGTGTAGCGGTGCTGGCAGCGGGGTGGGACGAGCAGCAGCACGATCAGCACCAGCAGGATGGCCCCACACAGGCTCATCAGGGCGTAGGAGGCGATCCAGAGCACGGGCTCGTGGAAGGAGACGCTGGAGACGCAGTTGCTGGCCACGTCTGCTGTGGTGAAAGGGCCCTCGATCTCGGAGACGGGCGCGCCGTCAACTTCTGGGGAGCCACAGAAAGGAAAGGATCAGGTCTGCAAACATCAGTTAAAAAGTATGTCCCTCTCCCTCTGTCACCACACATCTCACCACACTCGTGCTTTACCACATTTCTCATTGCACTAAAAACACGTCTTAGGTTGGAAATGGGTGTGGGTATTCTGTTCCTATCAATGGGGCAGTTCTCTGCTGTTCATTGGTGTTCCAGACTGCAAGGCAAGATGTTTTCCATTACCATCTCTATGGCAGATTATCTTTTGCCAAGTGGGCAGTTTGCTTTATCTCTGTCTCAGAGTGGCCACAATCACTCCTCCCTCAGGAGGGGACATCTGCTGATAACAGACTATTGAATGTCACTGCATGGCTGATAAGAACTACAGCATTCCATTGGGAGATGTGAGCCCAGAGGGAGGAGCCAAGCATTCCTACCCAGATATAATCCAGAGGTTTTTGAGACATCAGCACGGCTTTCTCCATGGGATTCCCCAGAGGAACAGCAGCTGCCTCTGCCACTGGACCTTCAGAGGAAGAATACATCCTTCTCTACAGATCCCCTTTGCTCCAAGAGAACCACCCCTGACACTGCAGGAGGGCTGAGCCACAATTCCAATGGGACTGCTGCCAACACCCTGACCCACAGGGTGTCAGGTTGGGTTCTGACCCTGTCAGTGTTGTTCCAGTGCACTACATTGTTTATTTTATCTTTTTTTTTCCTTTCCCTATTAAAGAACTGTTATTTCCTGCTCCCATATTTTTGCGTGAGAGCCCCCTAATTTAAATTTTATAGCAATTCGGAGGGGTGGGGAGGGTTTAAATTCTCCATTTCAGGGGAGGCTCCTGCCTTCCTTAGCAGACTCCTGTCTCTCCAAACCAAGACAATTGGGCAGTTTCTTCTTTATCTCTCCCACAGCCAATCCTCCCTCCAGGAGATCGCTGCTGTCCATGGGCACTGAGTGTCCCTGCAGGGCTGATCCAATCCCAGCATCCCATGGGGAGATGCTCCGCCCAGGGGAGGAGCCAAGCATTCCTCCCTGCATCCAATCTGGGCCTGGCACAGCACAGCAGCCTTTGCCCCCTGCATTCCCAGAGGAGCAGCTTTCTGCTGCCCTGCAGGGCCAGAGGGAGCCCAGGTCCATCTGCAGCAGCCCTGGAGCTGCAGAGGAAAACTCCCCCCTTGTGCAGGATCCCTGCTGCAGCAGAGCCACAGCTGGCACTGCAGGAGGGCTGAGCCCCCATGGGATGGGGCTGGGACACCGCCCTGACACACAGGGGACAGGGCATGGTCTGACTCTGGCAGTGCTGTTTTGTATTACTGCATTTTTATTTTATTTTTATTTTCTTCCCTAATAAAGAACTGTTATTCCTATTCCCATATCTTTGCCTGAGAGCCCCTTAATTTCAAAATTATAATAATGTGGAGGGGAGAGGGTTTACATTTTCCATTTCAGGGGAAGCTTCTGCCTTCCTTAGCAGACACCTGGCTGTTCAAACCAAGACTAAACACAAGAACCCTGTGTTTATTAAAAGGTACTCTGAAGCATAAGGAGACTGTGACTCTCCCTCATCTCCACAGGCTGTCCAGGACAGGACAGACATTTCAATCAATCAAAGCCCAAACCACTGGATCACCTTTTTACCTCTGCACTAACCATTCAAAAATATCCATTTAAATATCCTACAACATCCACCCTGCTGTAGGGCAGGGCCTGGGAAGTTTTTTGCTTGTTTTTTTTTTGCATTTCCAACAACTGGAAAAGCCCCTCAGGTGATTCTTTGCTCTTCTGTGTTTGATGTCTTAGGGAGCAGCCGGAAGGTTCATCAGCTTCACAGACACCTGAAAGGACTTTACCCTAAACACAAGGTGCAGTGTGGAAAGCAGCACAGACCCTCTTGTGGATGAAAATCCAGATGGAAGGGGAAGTGAGGCAGGAGAGCTGGGTGACAGATGTCCACAGAAGTGGAGTGGATGAGAGGAAGATCAGTGTCAGGAGTGAGGAACAGGCACATGAAGGAGCAATGGTGCTGGGCCAGGAGAACTAACCCAGCAACTCAAAAAATGATGACAAAGTTAAGGCAAGGAAGCAGTGATAATTCACTTCTCTAGTCAGCCACTTCCATGACACATCTGAATATTTTTTCATGAGGGCCCCAGTTTTAACTGTCCTGTCTGTTTCTCACACATTTTACATACAGGCACACTCTTGCCTGATTGGAAGTGATCCCACTACTAAAAACTGCATCTCTTATTTTCACATATCTTAGTCACAACTGCTGAAACCACATTTAAAGAGATTACCATAAACTACCCCCTTGGAAGGAAGGAGGGAGCCTGGATTTTGCAAAGGCGACCTTTAAGGTTCTTCAGGTTTCTAAAAAAATGCAGAATAGGTTGGTTGCTTTAGCTGCATAGATTTTGGTCGTCATTCAGTGCCTGGCCTCACAAGACCTTGTATTATTTTAAGATTCAGGTTTTGTTAGATTCAATTCAATTCAATTGTGGGCTGGTGTTGAAAGGGGCAATCCTGCACCCTCACTCCTGTCCCTCACAGCCCCGTTGGTGTTGGAGGAGGGAATGGGAGGCTGCAACTCGCAGATCAGATGGGACACCAGCCTTCACAACAAACAAAATGCCCAAACAAGGAATTTTCTGTGGAATCACTCATCTGAACCAGCCCTTTCTCCACCCCTAAGTGTGGGAAGGCTCCTTGAGCAGGAATATGCTGTGAGAGCAAACTGGGGGCACCCGAGGCTGCACCCACGAGGACCCTGGCGCTGGTGAATAACCAAACACCCACTCCCCAAACTCATTAGATGGTAAAAACTCTGCCTAGAAAGGTCTGTGGAAGAAATCCTTTTTGTCCAGAGCCCCAGGATGGCACTTTGCAATTATTTCTTGTGCAATTATTTCTTCTGGACATCTCACCCCCTCACACCATTGGTTTGTCTCTATGAAGTTCTGCAGCAGGACCAAACTCAACCACATTTAAGGCCAATTTCAAATGCAAGGTCTAAATATCATTACTTAGTTGTATTTTGAAGAAGTTGGGGGGGGGAAGAAAAAGCAGTACAATTTTCCACCTTGGAAATTACTTTGAAAATAAACAGTCTCTAATTACTCATTATTTGGCTCCAGCACAATAATTACTCCTATTAAAGAAGACAACACAAAACTGTTGCCATAGTGGCTGACATTTTAAATTGCATTTTGAGAATGCTTGATAGCAGCACAGCCTCTGCTTTCTTCCCTCCAAAAGGGAAAAAAGTTTTCCCTCACACTCTTCCACCTCCAGGGAAATTGAGAGGAAATTTGCCTAAATTGTTCAAAGAAGCCCTTAACATAAACTAACAGTCACACACTCAGCATATTGCACATTAACCGAATTAGAGGATTTTGATGTATTATTTTAGAATATCTGGTGGTACCTAACTACAGTACTTGTATAACCTTGAATAAATGAGATTTTCTTCATTGTTGGTAATTACAGGACAAAAAAGGCGCCTCTGGAAAAATGCTATTTTCTAACATTTGTGTAGAACTCAACACATGCTAGCTCACCCACTTGGGTGGTTACAAAAGCAGTAAACCTGGAATTAGATAAAATTCATAACAGAATTGTGAACTACAGCTTGAAAGGGGCTCCTGGAAGTCACCTAGACCAGGATCCTACTCAGAGCAGGACTGTCAGCATCAACAGATCAGTTCTGCTGCAGATTTGTCCAGCCAGGCCTTGTAAAACCCCGAGGATGGGGACCCTGTTTCAGTGCTGTGCCACCCACCTGGTGAAGAAGAAACTCCTCATGTCCAATGTTCCTGAATGTCCCTGGTAGATGTTGCTCTTTGTTATGTAATTTCATTTTCACCTTCCTTAGCTTCCATTCAGCTAAGGGCCTACCAAACCCCAGTTCTTTTCCCACAGGGTTATTTATTTCTTCCTGATTTTTTTTCTTTGCTTGGAAAGAGACCTTAAAGATTATCTAGTTTAAACCCATGCCATGGGCAGGGAACTTTCCATTAGACCAGGTTGTTCAAAGCCCCATCCAACCTGGCCTTGAACATTTCCAGGTTGCTTCACTAAAACCAACTCGTTGATCTGAACATCCTGTCTCAAGAAGGGACCTGATCCAAAAACCTGTCCTAGTCATCCTGTAGACACTAGGTTATCAACAGGCAACTCAAAATTATTTGTTTGAATAAGTCTTAAAGTGTTTCATGTAATGAGTTAAAGGCAAATTTCCTGCTGCAATGGAAGAGTTTCTTGCAACTATCTAACTTTCCTGTCACAGACATCTTTTCTGAAAAATCCTTTTCTTGGGATTTTTCCTCCTGAGAAGCTGAGAAGCCTCAGGAACAAAATGTAAACAATGGTTATCTGCTGCTGTGGAATGCAACAGGTGCATCTGTGATTAGCTCATGTGGTTGTTTCTAATTATTGGCCAATCACAGTGAGCTGGCTTGGACTGTGTCTGAGACACAAGCCTTCGTTATCATTCCTTCTTTTTCTATTCTTAGCTAGCCTTCTGATGAAATCCTTTCTCACATTCTTTTAATATAGTTTTAGTATAATATATATAAAAAAATAATAAATCAGCCTTCTGAAACATGGAGTCTGATCCTCGTCTCTCCCCTCATCCTCGGACCCCTGTGAACACTGTCACACTTTCCCCATTCTTGGTACATCCTGGAGAATAAAAATGATCCAAGGAATAATATGGGATAAACCAGTTCTCAACTCTAGCCAAGCAACCTGGAAGTAACCTGGAAGTTCAATGAAATTAAGGTTTTTAGTGCTGTTCCCATAATTTGTGTAATCATCATGTACAGCTCTACCACCTTACAAAATCAATTGGATTTAATTTAATGTTCACACTAAGAAAGCAGAAGTCATTGCAAAGCCACACTGAACAGTCTTTAACATTCCTCTGTTCCTGAAGATTGGAGCCACCAGTAATTCTGTTTCATTTATGCCCACGAGCTGCCTAGAAGGCTCCCAATAAATGCCATGAACACAGTTGCTATGGAGGGCAGGGCTGGCCTCCACGGGAAGCTCCATCCCTCATCCTGCACTCACAGCCGTGGCTCTCTCATCCAAGTGCTGTTAAATATGGAAACCACAAGCTGTGAAGGAGTGAAACTCAGCATCGCTGGCACCATCCAGCAAAATGTCATCTGCCTCATGTGAGTGGAATCTGGCAGCTCCGTGCATCTCGTCTCAGCTGATTCCTCAGGAAGCCAAGTTCCTGTGATGCTGGTGAGACATGTGCAGAGAACGTGGACAAGGAGACCAGGAGGAAATGGCTTGGAGCACCAGCTGGGTGTAATCACATGTCCAAGCTCATGGAAATTCCAGTGGCAGCTGTGTTCAGCAAGCTCAGCTCTTCCTCTCTGGCAGAACTACCTGAAGTGGTCACACTGTGCTTGCAGGGAGCAATACGAACACCACAGTGTTGTTATCATGGTTCTCAGATTATTTTTCTCACCAAAGCAGTTCCAATGCACAGCAGCTCCCCTGCTGACCATGCATGGTCCATGTGTTCTCTCTGATGCCCCTTCCTCCCCTCACTGATGCCTGCAGCAGGAAAGGGGCAGGAGGCACCAGGAAGAATGAAAGGCAGGGAAACCTGGCCTGCAGCATTTGTCCAGTTACACTCTCCTGCCAGATGCATTCAAAATGTGTCTTTCATCACTGCCTGGCACCTCAGAGAAGTGTCCATAAAGCAACTCATATCAATATCCAGATTTTCTTTGAGAGTGAGCTCAAAACCAACAAGTCTGAGCTTGTTAACAATGGAGAGATTTAAAAAAAAAAAGAAAGAAATAAAGAAAGAAGAAGCTTTAAAACTGCCCTGGAGCTGCAACTCAGCCAGCCAGAATCTCTGTTTTTCCCTTCATTAAGCACTCAATTTCTAACTACCTTTACCTTCTCTAAAACCTTAAAGAAGCACTGCCACTTCCAGTCCTCTTCTCACCTGAAGTTTGCATGAGAAATGTTTTTCAGGGCACAGACCATTTCTATTTGGGACAGAGACCTGAATATGGGTGCACATCCTTCCCCTCATCTCCCACTTGTGATGTTAAAGCAGTGTCTGAACAACAGGAGGAGGAAACCCCAAAGCTTTTGGGTTTTAGCTGCCCTTGGTGAGAAAAGAGAAATCATGGAAATTAACCAGCACAGTAAAATCAGCCAGAAATGATGAGCTTCCTCACAGCTAGTTGATAAATTAATGGCTTTCAGCTTACAATGAGAAAAGTAATTGTTTAGAATTAACACAAACACTACAGAGTCTTAATGTGAGTCCCATTTTCACCTCAGTTCTTTCTTTGCCGATTTCTGAGGGGCTGAACAGGCTCAATTTACATTAAGAGAAAAGTGTGAGCAAGGCACTTCACTGCACACTTCAAGAGCTGGTTGAAGAATCCATTTATGCACAGCTCAGAGCAGGAACCAGCCCAAAATGAAGCTGCATTTAAAAAAACCAGGGACTCATCTGATCTAACTGTTGGGGAAAATGCACACACAGACAGATGTCCCAGAAAGATCATCCCTGTGAGAGGGAAGAACCCAGCACAGATACCCAGAGCAGAGCCTGATTCACTTCATGCCAAAAGATGTTGTAATACAGTTTTGAGCTTTCTCTCTCTTTTTTTTTTTTTTCCCCTTCCTTTGAAATGTGAATAACTTGGAATTTCTTTAAAACACACCCTTCACACTGCAGGAGTACCCACACTTTCTGCCAACAGATACGTGGCAAAGGTGTTTCTCCGATTTTCCTCACTCCACAAATCCTGAGAAATTTTCCTCTTACCTGCACAGGGACTCACTGCAAAGCCCACTCTCCTCTGGGCTCTGTCAAAGATGACATAAAATCCTTCCATGACTGTAGCACCAATGACCAGAGCGTTTGTGGAGGAGGAGATGCCGAATCTGTAGCACTGCAAATTATCCCCTATCACAAGGATGGGCTGAATGTAAAGCTGTTAAAAGGAAAATATAAAAAAAATATATATATATTATAAAAATAAAAATAAAGCCAGAGTCTAAAAAGCAACACCTCACAGCAGGTAGAAGTTCAGACTTTTACTTTTATAGTTCAGGCACGCAAATTCCACTGGAAATGGAGAGTGGATAGGGGCAAACAGATTTTTGTACATGATTTAAAACTGGTCAAAGCTAACAGGCAGGTAAAGAGGTAAAGCGGGTGGATTTTAAAATGAATTTGAACACAGTCAGTCACTACACGCAGGTCAACAGCAAATTCTCAAGATTCTCACTTTTTACCATATTTTCCATAAGGGAAGGATGGCTGAGGCAGAGCCTGGGAGATGAACTCAAATTAGAGAATTAGTTATTAAAAGAATTATTAGGATGGAGTTGATTCAGAGAGCATTCACTGTCAGCTGCAAGGTTCTAGATTTTATAAATTCAAGTCACATTTCACCCCCTGTCTCCTCGGGGAAGATGAATGATTGCCAAGCTGCATGATCAATACAGAAAAAGCTTATCATAAGGCTTTACTATATTTCAAGTTAAAATGTACTTAATAGGTTCATTCTTTCCTTTGCTCCTGCCTGTCCCTTGAGGTAAAAGAATGTATTAGTAATGTTAGACAATACCAGCCTGTACTGCAACTGACAGTGGGAAGAGAAGCCAGAGAAGAAAAACAGAAGTGGCACATTATATTCTAAATATAATGGAGTGGATGGAATATTAATAAAAGATAAACCAGGCGAGTTACAGAAAGTGGTGAAGAGCTCACAAAGGGTCATTGCCAAGATTTTCATATTCAGAAGAAGTGCTCCAACTCAAAATGCCACGAGAAACAAATCAATTCCCTTCCCCAAACGAGAAGATCAAAACGAGCAGAGACATTCTGTATTGACATCTGATGTGGCCAAAGCTCATGAAAACAAAACAGAAACTTGCCTGTTTTTCCAGACAAATTGAAAAAAAAAAATCATTCCCAACTAGATGGATTGCACTTAGAGGGGAACTGTGCTTTGTCCCTTTCTTTTTTGCTTTTAGGTTTGACGAGTTTGTTATTTTCCATATTTAAAAATTGATTTTTAAAATTTGATTAAAAAAGGTTTCCTTTGCATTCAATAAGCCAGTTCCCTGTTAATGCTAAAAGTAGCTCTTATTTCTTAAGAGCATGTGCTTCATAATACTATTTACCATTTTACAATAGTAAAAATAAGTGCAAAGATGAATAAACAAAGAGACCTGTGGTAGGATAGAGATCCGAAACGACCTACTGGAGTTTTCATCCCTCAGGTAAATGGAAAGTTTGGGAAATAAGGACCAGGGTTTTTCACTTCTATCCCAGCATGCAAGCTGTGTGCCAGTCCAGAATTCAGAGGAGAATTCTTGTATCTGTAAAACAAACCAACCAAACAAAATTATGCTTAGAGGTTACAGCCATTTTGATAGATTTTTGTGAATGACCACTACCAGTGTTTGATACTTCTTTAATTTCCATGGAGAAATTCAAGAACACAAATCTGAGCTGCTTCTTTAAGGACCAAGGCAAAAACCCAAACCCCAACCAAGGTGTGTCATGACCCAGCATGACCTGGAGAAGGGGGAAGAGGCAAAAGCAAGTTTGGCTCTCCCTTCCCTCCCTGTTTTTGTCCCATTATTTCCTCTACAGCAGTGAACACGTGGCCTCCCTGAGCAATCACTTCCACAATGGGATTTTTCTGCCTCCCTCCCTCCCCTCTGACCAAGCACCAATGGTTTTGCATTTTACGTTCTATAAAAAACACAAACCAAAGCACAGACCACGTGAATGTGTCATGAGATAATGAGGTCACCTCCCTTCCTCATGCACCTACAGCTTCAGAGCTTTGAAGCCAAGGGCTAAGCCAAAAATCTCCTGGCATCTGAGGGAATCAAGGTTTGCTGTAAAGGAAGGAAACACACCCTCTGTCTCTTCGGAAGCCCTGTCACTCCCTACCAGTACAACCTGGCATGCTTTTGAAATAAAACCGATTAACGGCATCTTGTAACATATCCATGGAACTAACAAAACAAAAAGCCAACCCCTACAGAGATTGTTTGGCTAAGACAAACATCTTGCTCAATGTTCCTGCTCCCTGAAGCTGACCTGCTGCCAGATCTGAGCAAAGCCCTTCCTCATTTTATTGCATTTCTTTGGCTGGTTCTTGTTCCCCCACAAAGCAGCAGAAAGGAGGAGCTTGGTCTGAGGCTGCACAGCCAAAGGCTCCCATCTGGGTGAAGGAAAAAGATGGAACCCACCCTCTGCACTCTGCTCACTTGTATTTATCTGTGAGATGGATCATTCTGTAAGCATCAGCTCATTCATTAAAATATGGCATTTTGCAGGTGGCAGGCACTCACCCATTGCCACACCTGCCAGTGAAGGGTTTGTCAGGGCTGCACAGAGACTCCTGTTGGGATTTCTGCTGGTCAGAGTGACCCTGAGGAGAGTTGGAAAGTCTCTTTTCTCAGCCTGGCACTTGAAGAAGGACTCAGGGCTCCTCATTTCTCTGTCTCAAGGTTGTTTATTGTTCCCTATCTATAAAATATTTTCTCCTGCCCTGCCGAGGTCTTTACAGCAGGACAGTCCAGGCACTCTGCCTGCCTCCGGGGCAGTGTTGTGTCTTTATACTAAAAACTACGTGTGCAATGTTTACAATTACTTCCCAATACCTATCACCTATGTTAGACAGTGAGCTTCTACTCCAAACCAGTCTGAAAGTGCCAACATCACAGCAGAAGATGGAGGCCAAGAAGAAGAAGAAGGAGAAAGGCTGGACATGCCCAGATCCCTCCACCTTGCCCCTCTGAATCCCTATTCTAAAAAACCCCAAAATCTACTTTTCCACCCTGTGATAACTTCACTGTTATTCTACCTAAACTGTTGTGGCTTCATCTAAGGTTGGTCATTTGCTCCACGGGTCATAATCAAACGCACAGGGGCACCTTGGGCTCTGTGCCAGGGTCTCTGAGCCCCCTGGCAGGGTCTTGGCTGCTCAGGACAGCCAGAGGGATGTTCTGGGTTCCCACAACCCCTTCTCATTTCCAGGTGTTCTGCTCTTGGGCCTCAACAAGCAGAGACTCATGTGAACAAGGAGATTTCCCACCATGAACAGGCCTTTTACCCTGAACTCTCAGCTCCTGCTGAAGGGCATCCCTTGGCACAGGGCAGGACACTCTTCCCTCACAGCTGAGTCCCAGGCCAAACCTGCTGAGAAACACAGTTCTCCTCTCTTTCCTTTTGGTCTTGAAAAGCAGATCTGAGAAAAATTGCAAGGTACCACCCAGCCAGGTCAGACCAAGCCTACAAACTGCTCTGTTTTAAGGGCCTGCTTTAATTTCCCAGAATGATTGCTTAATGCACTGCATTTCTTTCCCTTCCTTCTGCACGCTGCAGCAATGCAGGTGGGAGATTTGAGTGCATCATCCCCAAAAGGCTGTTAAAATACAGATTTTAGGATTATCTGAGCCTTCCTGTGTTTAACTTTTTAACTGAACATTGTATTCCTGCTGTCCTGACCTCAGCTCAGTGAGGTGTAGTAGGTGTAGTATCTGCCAAAATCACCACCCTTCAACACCAGACTGCATCATAACAGCTGCTCCCTGAAAGCCTTCAGTCCAAATAATTTAAGTTTAAAAAACCATCTGCACCACTGAAAAGCTCGCAGCCTTGTTTTTGAACTGAGCTGAATAAAGAAATGTGTCACACACAGTTATCCCAGTTTGTCTGAGGGGGAAATAACACCTGGCTGGGTGCGCATAACAAGCTATGAGGAGCAGGAACTTGTTAACCTGGCTCACCTGTGGTCAGAAAAGTGTGTCTGACCACAGCAGATGATTTTATTGTTTTTTTCAGTGGTACATCTCCTGCTAGAAGCACAGAGCCTCTGTACAATTGCTGAAAATACCCATTTTCCTGACATTGCTCCTACACAGCTGGAATCCCATCCCTGCACTCTGTAACTCCTTTTCTTATTTAGCAGACTATCTCCTTTGTTTAGAGCTGTCAAGGTAAATTCTGGGCTGTGTGGAGGGAAAGGGGTCCTAGAGATTAAAAAGAACTCAGAAAAAAACGCTGCTTTATGCATTTTTAATAGGAACAGGAAAAAAAAATTAAGTAGAGTGAATGGTTCCCTTCTAACACCTTATTGATCTATCCACAGTTTCCTTGGGAGGTGGAAGGCCCCAGTTCAAATGTCCTGACAGCATCAGAGGGGGTGTGGGTCACTGTGAGCACTCCCCAGGAGGATTCCTTATCCACAGGGTGACATTACAAGAGCTCCTGGGCTGGATTCTTTCAATTCTGCCCCCATGGACTGAAATTGTTCCAGCCAACACTTTAGTGTTGTGCAAAGAGGAGAACTCGTAACTGGTACATTTATTTCAGATCATGGACATCTGCAGGCAGTGAAGGACACTTCATGCCAAATCTCTGCTCTCCATCAAGCAGGAAAAAGGATCTCAATCTTGAATTATCAGCACACAGGCAAACACTGTCTCTGGGGCAGCTGCTTTACTGTGTTCCCTGTGGCTTGCATCAACAAACCACTGGCTGATTGTGAGTCCATGACAAAAATATCAAGTTTGTTCACACTAAAATAGCTGGTGTTTATTCTCCCTCTTTAACCTCCTTGGTGCTGTTGCTTGTATTGAACAAAAATTTATGAATAGTTTTTATTAAGCAGAAAATGCTGCCTCAGCCACTCTGCACACAGAGAACTCCACCATCCCCTGGCCCTACTGCTAAAGCCCACTCTGTTCCCAAAGAAAGATGCTTTTGAACATAAATAATTCAATAATGAAGGTCAAAAGCAGCTTTATTGATATGAATAATCCTAATGAATGGCATTTATTCTAGACAGCACTAAGAATTATACTTGGAAAGGAACTGCTTGCAGCAGCAGGTTCTCCCACTTTACAAACACTGTTTTGAATGAAAAGACTGAGTTTTGCACTCTTAATACTTTGAATCAGAGCAATGGGGATTATGTCTGTGTTTCTGAAATGCTTAGAATAAAATACACCATTTTTGCCCTATTTCTGATGCATTTCCATACTCACACTTCTTGTCTGCACTTGTGTGTCACAGACATCTTTTATGAAAAATCCTTTCCTTAGGATTTTTCCTCCTGAGAAGCTGGGAGGCCTCAGGAACAAAATGCAAACATTGATTATCTGCTGCTGTGGAATGCAGCAGGTGCATCTGTGATTGGTCTCATGTGGTTGTTTCTAATTAAGGGCCAATCACAGCCAGCTGGCTTGGACTCTGTGTCCGAGACTGAGACAGAAGCTTTGTTATCATTCCTTTCTATTCTTAGCCAGCCTTCTGATGAAACCTTTTCTTCTATTCTTTCAGTATAGTTTTAATGTAATATATATAATAAAATAATAAATCAGCCTTCTGAAACATGGAGTCAACATTCTTGTCTTTTCCCTCATCCAAGAACCCCTGTGAACACTGTCACACTTGTGCCCCCTCTTTTCCCTCCTCCCTTTTTTTTCCACCTCTCCTTTTCCATCAAAGTAATTTCTGCCTTATTAACAGGGCTAGACCAGGGAAATTTCTGCTCCCCTCAGGTGCAAAACCTACGACTTGCAAGCCAGGCAGCAGAGCTGACACCCCTCTCAAAGCCCCTGTGATCCTTGAACTGGAATTTCACATTTCTGAGCAGGTTTCATGGCATTTTCTTACCAGGGATGTGCGAGCTATTGCCTGCACCACAGCACTGAAGACTTTCTCTGGCAGTCGTAGCAGAGTGGTTCCACTGTCTACTATGGCTTTATCAGCATTGTACTGGGCAGGGGAGAGAAAAAAAGAGAGAGAAGTTGTAAGCTGTAGTTCCTGTAATGCAGATCCCAGTGTCTCCTGAGCAGAACAAAGCTGCTCCTTTTTGGCAGCTGCCTTCCCAGAACTGCATGTCATACTTGTCAGCAGCTCTCTCCAGCTGAAAGCTTCAATTCCAGTGAAATCTGAGAGGGGAAAAAAAAAAAAGGAAAAAAAAGGCAAGATACTATCAGATACTATCAGCCTAGACACAAGAGTGGGTTTATCTGCACCGGTCAGGAAATTACTGTGTCACCACAGCTGGTGCAAATGGTCTCACTGCTGTGAAAAAGTGAATTCAGGCCCCTCTCAGAGGGAGCAAAAGCATTTTGATATTCTGTAGAGAGGTGTTAAACACCCTGATGCAGATTCCAAGCCCTGAATCAGGGTCTCTGCTAGCATGAGAACAGCTCTAGTTTAACCACAGCATCCTCTTTTATTGGCTGGCATATCTAATATAAGAATAAGCAGAAAAAATTAGGTCTCATTACACATCTGTACTGGGTCAAGAGTACAAATGTCACACCTTTATGCCTTGACTGCTGAAAACCCCTAAAACACATTAAAAAAACCCACATACAAAGAAACTTGAAGTTTGTCTTGCTGCCTTAAAATCTGCACAAAAAACCACCCATAAGAGAGCAAACACCTCTCTTATTACTGTAATGCTGTTCAACCCTAAAATTAAGAGATCTTGGCAAACTTCAGGTACAGTCAATGAGGTATAAACTTTTAAAAGGATAAATCTTTTTTCATGGACTCCTTAAAAACTATGATTAACTGTTGGGGGGGGGGGAAGCAAGTAGCAGTGGCAGCTATTTGCATTAACCACTTTTGCTGCCAGCTTAGGCAGAAGGATTAATATAACTGAGCTGTGACATGTTTATGGCATAATCATAAGACACAGGATGATATACAGCCTAAGCTACTTAGGAAGAGGTCAAACAGCAAGTGAAATTTAAATACCCTGGTTTGGATGTTATCAAGTCACATGGAGTCCCTTTAGGGCAGTGACAAAAATAAAACCCACCAAAAAAGTCAGAAAAAGTAACCCTTGACAGTTATTTCCACATTTTTTTGAAAGAGCTGATATGGGGCTGCCATACAGAACTGACAGAAAAGCAAACAGGAAATAATTTATTACACACTTGGGAATACTTCTGAAGAGTGGAAAGAAATGCCAAGGCCTTTTGGAGTCCGTTTTAACAGATTTGTATCACAAAATACACAATCACTGGCACCCTGGAATACATGGAAAAAATGTATTTTTCCCACCCTTGGGGGATAAAAAAAAGTAGTTATAAGGGTTGACCATTGATATAAACCTGTGCAAAAATCTGGGAGTAGTGGGATTGCTCACAGGGGGACTGAGCAGCTGGTTTTGCCTTCTTGGCTTTGCTGGTTAATATTTAGCTGTGCTGGAGCCCTGGACACATTCCCAGCACTGGAAGGAAAGGAAAGGAGCTTTTCCCTGGCAAGGAAAGGAAAGGAGCAGTCCCTGGTGATGGCTTTGAGACAAAAATGTTCCATTTCCTATGAAACAACGGAGAGGAGAGAGGGCACAGAGCTCCTCATCCCAGAGTGAATCATGCATCCTCTGCACACTTGTGCTGCTCCTGTTTCACTGCTCTTCCTCTGAATTTCTCTGGAATTTCTGTGGGAAGGTCTCCTTTGATCCTTCTGCAGCAGTGAGAGCAACCCCTGGCTCAGAAAAGAGCAACAATTACAGGAAACTTTCCTGACACACCGCTGAATTTTTCAGCGAGTTGTTTTCTGGCAACTGCATGTATTAAAGCACTGAAGGGCTCCCCTTCAAAAAACATGTTGGCTGTTTTTTAAGGCAAGAAAGAAAAGCAAACATTTGTTTTAAGGGACCAGTGGTTTTGCTTTCCTAACAGCACAATAGAGAGAGGCATTTAAATAGACCTTGTTCTGCTTGTTGAGTTGAAAGATGCTGTGACTCATTTTCAATAATTGATATGGCAATATGATTTCAATATTTTGCAGGGGAATATAATATTTATGCACATGTAATACTGAAATCATGAATTTCACTTAATTTATACGAACTACAAAAACTTTAAACTTATCACATCCCATTGATCTCCAACTAAGAGCATCAGTGTAGAATGAAATTAGGATGTCTAAAGAAATTGGGGCATAAAAAATACAGAACTAAACTCAAAACATGAATACCAACAAGCAAGAGTAAGAAAGAGATAAAGCACAAACATGCACATATATCCTCCACAAAAAAAAAAAAAAAGAAAATGAAATGCCTTTGGAATAAAAATTGCAAGAGCACAGCCTCATTAGAATGATCTAGATACAGGAGAACATTATTCCTAACAGAAACAGAAAGCTTATCCATCAGGAATAATAACTGCCAGCCTCAAGAGAGTAAAAGTTGATTTTGTACATAAGAATAAAAGAAGAACAAGAACATAAAATAAAAAAGGCAGCCTAGGATGAGAAGTTCAGGAAGCAAACCAGGGTTGCTCCTGTCCATGCCATCATGAGCTGTGAGCTCAGACAGCTCTACATGGTCAACCCAAAACCTCCCATTTCCCTTGTTTGACCAGAATTGCTTTAATTCAGTTCTCAGGACACTGCAAAGCACATCTGCTTGCCAAGACAAAACTGACCAAACAGTTTTGTTGTTTTGTTTTTTCCCCTCAGCCCAACTTGCATTTCACATCCCAGGGCCAGTACCTCTCTGCAGTCCAGCTGGAGGTTCTGTCCCCCCACCTCCAGCTTGAGGATTTCCACCTGGTAGTACCACTCCTCCTTGATGGGTGTGTACCAGATGTCCCCCGTGTACAGGCTGGGCTCAATTCCACCCAGCACCTAAGGGACAGGAGAAAAAAGTCAATTTAAAAGAAGTCACATGTCTATTTTTACAAGAAGTCACATGTTTAGTTTTGGGGCAAGTGCACACAAAAAGGGGGGTGTTTAATTTGTGATACTCAGGGGCATCAAAGTTTTAATTCAGCACCATTTGTTAGGATTTTAGTGTCAAGTTCTCTGTCAATAATAGAGTAGTAAGAAACATTAAATAGATTGTGCTTCAAACAGAATTCCCATACTGGGCCAAATTATCAGCCAAATTATTTTTACCTACAACCTCACACTGATTCTATTATGAAAACTCCTCTGTTTTAATTTTAAAACCAGCATCTTCAGTGGATAAATCTAGGCAATGTATAAAAATGGGACAGAATAATAAACTTACATGTGAATAATTTGTTTTATCAGATCATAAAAGCTTTAATGCTGCCTAAAAAGATTTTATTTTTTCTTACGCACATCCAAAATGGAATCCCATCCTGTCACTGCTATCACTTTTAGCTTCCATCAAAACCCAGGCTGAGGAGGGCTGGGAGTGTTTGTGGATGCTCTGACTCTGAACTAAACTTAAGAAAGTTCTCTCTTGGTCTTCAGTTATACAAAAAACATTTACAATATGTGAATTTTTCTCAAAATAAGTGTTTGTGATCAGCTCCTGTGCTGAGATGTTTATTCCAGCATCATGTGGGAACAGGAATCTCCCAATTCCAGATACAGAATGGGCCAATTCATGTTCCCATTGAAGATGATGGAAAGACTTCCCAGAGTAACAGCAAGCAGGAGATCTGATCGACAGATTCTTCCCTTTAATATGTTGTTGACAAAAAAAAAAAAAAAAAGAAGAAAAGACCCTTGATTCCTCTCCCCCTTTTCACATCACATAAAACAAAAATACTGTAGCATTTTGATGAGATTGAACAAATTTATCAGCTGCATAAGGGACTACTCAGTTTGAGAAATATAGCAGAATCTGCCCTGAGGAAAAACCACAAAATTCATGTTTTTCTTTGTTAAAAGATGAAAGTTTACTCAAACTTGAGAGAGGAAAAAAAATAGAATTGAGAATGAAAATAAATAACACTCAAATTTTGCCTAAGGGCTTAGCTTTTCTTTAAAAAAAATACAAAACATATTTAAAATGCGAAAATATCTTTAAACACTAAATTTGGCAGAAGCAGGATAGTCAGAGAAAAGAGGGAGAGAGATGAACAGAGATACATTTTCCCTCTCCTATTGACAGATACCCACAAGACTACCTCCGTTGGTACCACTTCCAGAAACAGGGAGTCCAGCACCACACATCTGCAGGGAGAAAATGTTGGGGATCTTTGCCTGCCTCACGAGGGAATCAAAGAATGTCTCCACAGAACTGGAAGGCTTCAAGGTGGTGAAAAGCAAAACAAAAAAAAAAAGAATTTTAGGGTTCGTTTGAAAGTTACTTTGCAGAAATCAGCAAATCATTCAAACAAGGACACTTTTCATGAGTAAATTGAATTTCTGACAAGCAGCTGATGAAAGTTCTAGACATAATAAGCTATTAAAACCCCAATATCTGTAATTTTTCAGTTTCTATAGTTTTTAAAAACGTTTTTACTCTTGACCACTGTCAGTGCTGCTGCCACCAAATCCCTAAAACACAGGAGTAATGTTCAATTGCAGTTTCCAAACTCAAACAGAGTTTGAGCTTGGCAGAAACTCTCACTGATAATTTCTGTTTGGGATGATCTTTGTGTTATTAGAACACTCAAAGGTAACTTGCCATTTATTCCTTCCCATGGTTAAAATGCAGAATTTTAAAGTCAAGATTTTCAGTTTTTCAGCACTGTTGAATTCTAAGGAACTTTGAGTTGAGTGGCCCAAATTTCCTCTCTTTTCTCTTGAAGAATTTCATACCCAAGCACTTTCTCTCCAGCTGGGTGCTGGCCAGGTTCTTCCTGACACTGCAGGTCCTGTTTCCCTTTGCAGTCACTGGAGTGCTGCAACTTCCCTGTAACTCAGATTCGTGTGCAGGGAGGTCAGAGGGGCCAAGTGCTCTCACTGCACAAAGCCCAGAGCAGCCTCAGAAGCCAATAACCATGAATTCCTTGGAAGAAGGGAAGAACAAATGTCCTGAGTACTCTGCTTGCCCAAATCAGAGTCTGAGAACACCTTCTCCTTCTCCTTCTCTCCCTCTCTCCTTTCTCACTTTGGGATGTGGAGGTTGAAAATGGCAACTTTGTCTTTTTCCAATCACGTTTTCAGTTTTAGATTTTAAGGTTATACATTTTGGATTATAAGCTTCAGGTTTTAATTGAATCTTCTGCCTGAATTTCCTGCCTCCAGAGGAGCAGGATGTGCTTGGTTCTGTGTTCCTGGAAATGCTGTGGATAATATTTGTTCTGAAATTATCCATCCACCTCTGTGGAAACCCAGGGCACACAGGGAACATTTCTCTGTCTGCTCTGGGGTGCCCTGACCCCCAGGGCAGCACTGACTCTGACCCTCATCCATGGAGAAAGTTTCCCAGACTTCAAGATAGACTGGAATCCACAAAAGTGTGAAATAGATTATAGAGAGCAGTGTCGGTGTATCACTTGGTGAGAAATTGAGGTGTTGGGGTTTTTAGGATGTTGTGGATGGAAGCAAGATGGAGGGCACAGGGTGTTGTCCTGGGTTTCTTCTTCATGCTTCTTCTTCCTCCTTCTCCATGGGTTTGGGTGGCATTTTGTAATTGGGCAGAAAAGTCCCCATTGCAGCGCTTTGGGATCAGTTATTGGGTTAAAAGGGAAAATAATCCAGGTGTCAGTTCTTCATTGGATAGTTCAGTCTTAAAAGCCCTTGGAAGAAGAGATTGTTGCCATTTTGTGCCTTCTAATGAAAAGCTGCAGAACTCACAGTAGTGAGACTGTTTTACTCATAAGAAATAATAAACATCTGAGTGTGAACATGAAACACCATCTCAAGTGCCTTCAATCCAGACCCAGAGAAACCCACAACCTCAGCACACCTCAACTTTTACTAATGAACAGAGAATGTCCTAGAATGAACTGCTGAGGACTTTGCCTTGGACCAGTTTTCAGAAGTATCCTCAGAGCTCTAAAACCTCCCTCCACACACATCCCACAACCACACTCTGGTACTACAAACTCTGCAAAAGCTTATTCATTCCAGAGAAGCTAAAATCAGCATTTCAATCACCAAAAAAGCCAAAATCCTCTCATGGGGCTGTGGTACCACCACAACCCAGTTTATTCTTTCTGGAACAAAGGGAGAAGTTGTGTAGGAAGGAGTGGCTGGAAGGGTGGAGCCTAATGCTGACAGATCATCTGCTGGCTTGATTTTAACACCTTCCTATTTATATATGATATAATAATATTCTATGATTATTCCATTTATTGTCCTTGTGAAAGACAGTAGGGAGGAAGGGATGGTTTACCTTGGCTAAGGCATCGTAGGCAAGGCCCAGGATCCCGTGCCACTTGACCCCTGGCAGGAAGAAGTTCTCTGACTCCAGGATGGTGGCAATGTTGATAGTGTAGCTGCCATAGAGTCCTTTGGGCATGGTGATGACATCTGTGCCCAGCACTCCAGTCCAGCTGCCTTGGCTGTACTTCACTGTCACCTCCACCCCTTGAGATCTGTATGTGCTTGACCTTTAAAGGGAAAGGACACACTGATGCACAGGCTGTTCATTTACAATGCAAGACAACAGAATATATTCCAATTTTGCCCAGAGAGGGGAAAAAAAAAGGTAAATTAAGTATGTAAAATATCTATTCATACTGCTCCTAAAATCAGGAAAAAGCAGAAATTAAAAAAACCCAAAAGTCAAAGCCCCATTTTTATCCAGAAGCCACCGATAACTCAGCTCTTCACAATGTGTTTTTAAAAAAATAAATAATCTAAGATATTATGTCACCTAGTGCACTGTCCCTGACTCAGACTGGTCCACAGAAGCAACACTTTGGAACTGGAGAAGGAATGTATTAAATGGCAATAGAAAATAGAAAGCTGCTGAATTCAAATCTAAAATTGAAATGCAAAGCTAACTGAATAGCTGTAGACTAATATCTCATTAATATTCCTAAAAGATCCCTTTTGGGTAAATTGGAATGTTATTGTGAGTACCAGCAGTAAGACAGAGGTTTCCTAAATCTGCAGTTTGACCTATCTGTGAGGAAATAAAGTAGAATTTGATATTATTAACAAATGATTCACTGACTTGGAGGAGAAAAGGAACTAATTTTTTTCAAGACAAGGGAAGCAAAGGCAAAGGAGCAGTTAAGTGTGGCAAGCAAAAGAAGGAACTGAATCCTGTTTAAAATGCTTTAAAAAATAGTAAAATCTTCAGTAGATTTTTAATTTTAAAGACCTGTAATCCACAAGTATTGTTATATCCCACACACATCTCTACTGAAGAGGTTCAAAAGTTCTAGATCCCTCACAATTTACTTTGGATCCTCTCCTTGGCACACAGTTTCCTCTTTTGGAGAGACAGATGACCACACTCAGCTCATCTCAAGAGACTTTTCACAGCTTTTTGGGAAGTAAATTCGGGGGGAAAAGCGTAAAGTAAATTTATAACAGCATCTTTACATGTGTGTAGAACAATAGAAAGGGCAAGGGTTTATCAGGTGCAGATACTTTGATCAATCCAGCTTTAATCTAACAGCCAATGAAGTGGCTTCACAGGCCCTGTGCCTGAGCTCACCAGCATGAATTTGGGAAAATTAATGAATAATTTTCATTATTATGAGGAGCAAGCTTCAGATGGAAACATGGACAAGTCCCATAATTCAAACAGTTTCTCCTGGGGAACACTTTGGCCATATGGACCATGCAAGTGACTCTTCCAAGGCAGGAGACCACGCTCTATCCCTATAAGCAGTTCTTGACACTCCCAAGACTTAACCCTTCAAGGGTTAACATCCAAGGCAGCAGAAATACATGAGATAATATTTCAAAATGCAGGAATTCCAGGTAATAGCAGTATTACCTGTACCTGATCACTTCCACTGCTCCTGTGTGATTCTGCATTTGTGTCACACTCACACAAAGGAACATCTCTGCTCAGGCAGGGTCCTCAGAACACCTCTGTGACACTGGCAGGACATTTTATAAATCAAAATAGAGTCTGAATAATTAGCAGCATAAGGGAAACTGCAGGGGCAAGAAATGAAAGGGAGAATGCTTTTCTTCATGGAGAAAAGTGCCTGGCTGAGCAGCAGAAGAGGAAACATCTGAAATCAGAGAGAAAATTGAGTGCTGGGAGAATAAAGTGAAGCAAATCTGCAGACAGCAGCAGTGCATGACTAGAACAGCAGCAGCATACAGCTCTTCTTCCAGAAGTAGGAAGAGCTGTGGACCAGGACACAGAAAGACTTTCCAGCACAGCTGCTGACCTTTCCTGTGGAAAAGCAAGAAAAGTCCCTTCCTCACCATTTGTGCCTCAGCTTCCCCACCTGTAGAAATGGATATGAAGACACTCATCTCATCTGTGAAGTTCACAAATGTCATATTGAAGAGGAGACTCAAGGAGCAAAATGGGTAACATGGGAAGGGATCTTGCAGTAAATTCTGTTCTGCAAAAGCACTTCCCCATCCTCTTGCAGGTAATCAACCACAGGTTTTTTTCACCTTTCCACCTGACTGATCTAAAGGAAGAAAACTTTAGAGGTCAAAACTAGAGACTAGTTGAAATTCATGGGCTGAGTGTTATAAAACACACAGCAGAAGAAAGAAAATTACAAACAAACTGTTTTGGCTGTGATGAGGAAAGAAGAAATTCACATCTTCCAGCAGGACAAAGTAGAAAGAGGCAAGGAATAAGGACTCCTAGATCATGGTACTGTAGGGTTCCTACTCCTTTCTCCCTCTTCTTCCCATCCCTATCTTCTCTCCAAAGCAGCCACCAGAAATTGGTCCTCAAACCTCACATGGATCTGGAGCCCCAGCTGAGCAAACCAGCAATGGGGTAATTTCCTCTTGCAGAGTTAATCCTCATTACCAGCACACAGCACAGAACAAAACACCACCAAAATATTATTTCTCATGTCACAATCCCTATTGCAGCAAGCTCCACATGGCAACAGCAAATCCCCCATGTGCACGAAGCCCTGCCTAACACTGACCTCACCAAACAACTTTAAGACAAAGCAAACGTGAAAACACAACAGAAATTATTGATTTTTAACCAAGAAGTCCCATCTAATCTGCAGGGCTTCCACAAAAAGTTTATAATTCACCCCAAGCCACAACCTGTACAGTGCACACAACCAACCTGGCAGGATCACACTGCAAAAGCAGCAAAACAAGCAGCAAAAAGCAGCAAAACAAGTTTCTTTTGTTTGATGAAATATAACTTATTGTATTACCTCAATTTATTGCCTGTATTTCTCTTACCTCCCTATCTCTTGGAAAGATCAACTCTTGAGCAGCTTGCTTTTGAAGCTTCAGATAGTGAGGCAGTAGCACTTTTTATTTATTTACTGAAATAAAACTGAATACTGTTCCTGAATACTGAAAGCCCTGAGCATGTCAGATTTACATACTGCTGCAGAGCCATCACTGATCACTTGGGTTCAAGTGTAAAAATCCCTTTATATGTCTGTTTAAGTAGCTCTTTTATCATAAGTAGAGTACTCAACAAAACTACTTGTTATTTTCAACAGCATGAGAAACAAACACTGTGATTTCTTTTCAGATCAGGACAAATCAGGTAATTTTGCAAAACCTTATACATCACGGTGACTTATAGAGCATGGTTATCACAGCAAACTCAGAACTTTTTACAGCAAAGGTTTGTCAGAGCCACTCAAAAGCCCAAGTTGTAAAAGAGTGCGTGGTAACAGCTTTACTCACTTTGTAAAGAAAGAGCCAGATAATTAAACAGCAGGATTATATCACATAGATTATGTGATACACAACATAATTTAACAAGTTAGTTCTGGAATTGCTCCAGGAGGGCTCTTCCTGAAAAACACACTCTCTAGGTCCTTTGAAACAAAGACAATGCCTCTCCCATGCACCCCCCTCAATTTCAGTCAAAAAAGAATCATGCATTCAATTTCTGATTTTGATCATCTGAATAAAATTAAACTAAGAGTGTGGCACCAGGAAATTAAGCCCCATCACTCTCTCCAACACAACATGAATATTCTAATAAACACACATCTATAACTCATAACCCATTAATTTAACAAATTACTAATCTTTCTTCCCCCCTTGTCTTCAACTTGCAGTTTAAGATGTCAGAACACTCCATGACAATATAGGGAAAAACTGCAGGAGTGATTACCAGATGAGAGGACACCCCTTTATCTAATCTCAAGTGTTCCTCCTAGGAAGGAATACAAGTGCCCATAGGTTGTTTTTCTCATTTACACGTGGGCAAAGGTCACTCTTGGGTAATTTTACAGATCCAGCTGATGTGGTCTCAATGCCCCTTGTTTACCATCCCTGCAAAATCATGACAAGCAAGCGTGCTGCTTTGGGCTGGGGATGGAGTTAATTTTCTTCACAGCAGCGAGCACAGGCTGTGTTTTGGATTTGTGCTGGAAACAGAGATGAAATATAGAAATATTTTTGTTATTGCTGAGCAGCTCTTGCACAGAGCCGAGGCCTTTTCTCCCTCTCACCCCACCCCAGCACTGCCAGGCTTGGTGTGCACGAGAATTTGGGAGGGGACACAGCCAGGACAGCTGACCCCAACTGACCCCAGGGATATCCCACACCTCAGCAGGTACAGCTGGGGGAAGAAGGAGGAAATGTTTGGGGTTTTGGTGGAGGAGTGGCTGTGTGGGGCCGAGTTGCCATCAGGGTTTAAATCACAATGCCAGGGAAGGTGTTCTGACTGCTGGGAAAAGTCAACCCAAAGGCCAGTCTCAAAAAAGGACAAGCAGCAGCACCCAAGGAAGTACAGGTGACTGGGCTTCACCCCCAGTCAGGAGACGCCAGGAAATATAGAGATGTTTTTGTTATTGCTGAGCAGCTCTTGCACAGAGCTGAGGCCTTTTCCCCCTCTCACCCCACCCCAGCACTGCCAGGCTTGGTGTGCATGAGAATTTGGGAGAGGACACAGCCAGGTGACCCCAACTGACCCCAGGGATATCCCACACCATGGTGCCATGCTCAGCATGTACAGCTGGGGGAAGAAGGGGGAAATGTTTGGGTTTTTAAGTGAGTGAGCGGCTGTGTGGGGCTGGGTTGCCATCAGGGTTTAAATCACAACGCCACACACAAAGGGAAGGTGTTCTGACTTCTGGGAAAAGTCCATCCTAAGGCCAGTCTCAAAAAGAGACAAGCAGCAGCACTCAAGGAAGCAGAGGTGACTGGGCTTCACCTCCAGTCAAGAGAAGTCTCAGATAAAAGCTCCTGGAATCTGTTTCCAAGCACCTGAAGGACAGTCATGGAGTCACAGCCACTCAATGAGGAATTTCACAGCCACATCACACCTGACCCATCTCACTCCCCTCTACATCAGGACTGGAGGCACAGATGAGGAGAACTGTGGCTGTAGCACATCTCGGCTCCTGTCAGGCTTTGGACACCAGCTCCCATGGCATTCCCATTTGGAAGCTGAGGGTGTGGGCTGAGCAAGCCAGCCATGGTGTGGGCTGAAGGTGGGCTGCACCCCTGGGCCCAAAGGAGCCATTGACTCGTGACAAGCAGAGCCCCAGGGGCTGTGAGTGGAGGGAAAACTCCACAGCCTGGAGAGAAGGAGGCTCAGGAGAGACTTTCCCACCCTTTACAAGGCCCTGGCAGGCAGCCAGGTGAGAGTCAGGCTCTTCTCCCATGCAACAGCAACAGGACAAAAGGACACACACAAGCTGTGCTGAGAGAGGCTCAGGCTGGACTCCAGGAGGAATTTCATAATGGAAATGGTGGTTAAACACTGCACAGGGCTGCCCAGTGAGCTGGTGGACTCATCCACCCTGGAGGTGTCCAAGGAAGGCCTGGAGGTGGCACTCAGTGCTGGTGACAAGGTGGGCATTGGTCATAGGTTGGACTTGATGGTCTTGGAGCTCTTTTCCAACCTCAGTGACTTTGTGGTTCTGTGAAGGTCTTCATCAAGAGCCTACATGAAGGACAGACTGCACACTCAGATTTGCATCAAAGGGAGAGGCTGCCACAGCCACCAGTTACATTTTTTGAGGTTCAGGTTGGACAACAGGAAATATTTCCTCCCCAGGACACTGTTGCATGGCACCCTGGACAGAGCATGGGTTCTCCATCCTCAGAGGTTCACAGGCCTTGGCTGGGCCCAGCCATGGCTCACCTGCTCTGGTGACAGCCCCAGCTCATTTGGGATGTGTGCCAGGAGACCTACAGAGCTTTCTTCCAACCAACATTTTAAGAAGATCTACCTGGTTTCATTGGGGCCAGGATCCCAGCAATTTATTTATTTAAATGTAGTTAAAATAATATAAAATGGAAGAAGCATGGTGTCCCCAGGAGTCTGCTGATGTTTGTACTCTGAGCCCACTGCAGGACTCCATCAGTGCAATCCAAACCAGAAACTCCTGCTGCAATTGCTCTGGACTTGATTGACTTTTAAGTAATGACTTAAAATCAAGTAATGACTTGATTTGGAGTTATTTTACAAAGCAACCTTAACCAACTCTTTGGGGCCTGGACTTCAAGGTTTCATTATTGACCTTATATTAAAGTTCTCAAAACACAGTGTCCACTGAGAACACGACCACAGGCTGTAACCTTCACATGATTTCAGTCTGTCTTTCCCCACACACAAATTCTGCTGTTGCTGTTTCTGCTGGTTTATGTTTCTGATGAGAGAGGCCTTGTCCTTCCAGTCTCAATAACATCAATTAAGAGAAAGAATGCTTGTGCTTTTAATTCTTGCAATTAAGCTTTCTCTAGCCACTGCCTATGGGAGGGGATAGCTGGCTGGCAGTAGTGCAGAAATAGCCATCAAGTAGTATCAGAAATAGCTCTCCAACATTCTGGATTTTCCAGACCTGTATCATATCAGCATGATGTGAAATATCTCCATTAACTTCTAAATATATGACAAGAGGTGAGGCTACTCCAGTAAGCAGCATGGAAATGATAGATTTCCCTCCATTCCCAGTGCATCTTACTGGAAAAAAAGTGTAAAACCCCATGTTAAAACACATGTGACGCAGTGAGAAGGGTGATACTCCCCAGTTTCCCAGCACTATTAGTATTTTTATTCATATGCTTCAGCCAAAAATAGACACTGCATTTTGGAGAAGTTTACCTGAAATCATTGAGACTAGAGAAAGGCAGAAAGGAAGAAAGGAAGAAGTGTGATTCAGACAGACAAAGCCTGGCTGTGATTAATGTCAGCTTATGCTAAACACAGCAAATTTAGTGCATAACAAACACCAGAAGCACCAAGTTGTATTTTATAAATAACCAGATTCATCAGGGTCTGTCTAGATCACTGACTGAGGCCTGTGTCCAAACTGAACAACTAATTAGGTTTTGACTAAGTAATTTTGCTTCTGGATGAAATGTCAAGTAACTGATACAATTACCAGCTTTTAATTTTTGTTTTCAAACAGAGGCAAGGCATATTGAAACTTTTAATTCCTTGCAAGTCTATTCAAGTAAGAAATTGGCTGAAATTGGTGTGATTTTTGCAAATGATTTTTACCCTGTAATCATCCTCTCTTTCCTCCAGTTCTAATTAGTGCTGCTGATGTTCACTCAGAGCTCAGCTGTGCTGCCACCAGTGGGGCTGCTCGTGGTGTCAGGCATCACGCAAATCCAAAATTCCCACCAGGCAGCCAAAATCCCATTCCCATGGGATGTCACAGGAGCCCCAGGAGCTGCTGCCTTATTATCCTGTCTTGCAGAATCCAAAATGTCCCCCCCTAATTTCCATCATGGGTGCAGAACAGGTACTTACAGCTCAGGATCGAAGTAGGATGTGACATCAGGATCAGGCACACCTGCTACAGCAAAATTGCTGCTCCCAGTGTCAACCAGAATATTTAACTGCAAAAAAAAAAAAAAAAAAAGAAAAGAAAGTAGAGGTGATTTGCACACCCAATTAAACAAATGAACAACAATAAAACATTGCAGTTTTTGTCTAAACTGTCTTTGGTTTTAAAATCATGATGAGCATTGCCCTGGGAAATGAATTTAGTGTCACTTTTGGGAAAGATGTGCTGCTGCAGCCCATCCAAAACAGCTGATCCGGCTGAAATTTTTTAAATAATCTGTTCCTGGAAGGGGGAAAACCCGCCAAGCCCACATTTGCACAGCAGATGAATTCCTGATCATCTCCAATTTCTTTTTGGCCCAAGCCCACATTTGCACAGCAGATGAATTCCTGATCATCTCCAATTTCTTTTTGGCCCAAACCCACATTTGCACAGCAGATGAATTCCTGATCATCTCCAATTTCTTTTGGCCCAACCCCTGAGTCTTGGCTGAATTATGGACTGCTTAAAGCTCTCTTTATCTTAGAGCTTGTGAGATTTCAAGGCAGGGGCAGAGTACAGGTCTGGACAGAGATAAGCAGAAGCATGGAGCTGCTTTGTGGGTTGGAAAACATAGGAGCAATGCCCAGTTCATCCTTTACCACCTTTAAATATGAGGATGGCAGATATATTAACACCATGATTGAAAGGTGGCCTAAGAGGGGGCCACTTGTTTGGTTGATTGGGAAGGTGATTTAGGCTGAAAATTGCCTAAAAATGGACGAAATGGGACACCTCTTTTCCCTATCTAGTTCAGGTAACTAGGCTGGTCCATCACAGCTGCACAATGGCAAAGCAGGGTCACTTCTTTCAGTGAGACCTGGAAACCACATAGGTACAGACCATTAAATGGTAAATTTAAGTCAGTCAGAGACTCTACTGTGTCGCAGACATGTTTTATGAAAAATCCTTTCCTTAGGATTTTTTCTCCTGAGAAGCTGGGAGGCCTCAGGAACAAAATGTAAACAATGATTTTTGGCTGCTGTGGAATGCAACAGGTGCATCTGTGATTGGTCTCATGTGGTTGTTTCTAATTAATGGCCAATCACAGTCCAGCTGTCCAGACTGTCTCAGTCAGTCACAAGCCTTTGTTATCATTCTTATTCTATTCTTAGCTAGCCTTCTGATGAAATCCTTTCTTCTATTCTTTTAGTCTAGTTTTAATATAATATATATCATAAAATAATAAATCTGCCTTCTGAAACATGGAGTCAGATCCTCATCTCTTCCCTCACCCTGGGACCCCTGTGAACACCACCACACTACTGCTACCAGACCAATGGTCACACTTTCCCCCTGCTCTCGGCTGGATGCCTCCCAAGCCTCCGTGGCAAAGCCACAGGGCTGTGATGCAAACCAGATCAGGTTCCTCACCTACAGATACCAAGAAAAAACAACAATCTGCCACACCAGACAGCCACACCAATGGATGTGGTAGGAGTAGATACCAGAAAAGGGCAATTCCCTCCCTTGGGGACAACATGGCCTCAGATTGGCTTAAAAGAGCTGCTCCCCAGAAAAATATTAAAGAATTGGGTGTGGAAACCCAGGGCACACAGGGACTATTTCTCTGTCTGCTCTGGGGTGCCCTGACCCCCAGGGCAGCACTGACTCTGACCCTCATCCATGGAGAAAGTTTCCTAAACTTCAAGATAGACTAGGATCCACTAAGGTGTGAAATAGATTATAGAGAGTAGTGTAGGTGTATCACTTGGTGAGAAAATGAGGTTTTTGGGGTTTTTAGTGTGTTGTGGATGGAAGCAAGATGGAGGGCACAGGGTGTTGTCCTGGGTTTCTTCTTCATGCTTCTTCTTCCTCCTTCTCCATGGGTTTGGGTGGCATTTTGTAATTGGGCAGAAAAGTCCCCATTGCAGCTTTTTGGGATCAGTTATTGGGTTAAAAGGGAAAATAATCCAGGTGTCAGTTCTTCATTGGATAGTTTAGTCTTAAAAGCCCTTGTACCAAGAGATTGTTGGCCATTTTGTGCCTTCTGATGAAAAGCTGCAGAACTCACAGCAGTGAGACTGTTTTACTGATAAGAAACAATAAACACCTGAGTGTGAACATGAAACACCATCTCAGGTGCCTTCAATCCAGACCCAGAGAAACCCACAACTGGTACCACCACAATTAAGAATTTTCCTGTAGGAGGGAGTGAGACATGAAGATTTGGTTGCCCATGGCTTAAAGCAGCTCAAAGGAGCCCCTTTGGTCACTCCTTAAGATGGGCTGTAGCTTGGGATCTACCACAGGAGGGGATATGGAAAGGGCAGCAGACAACCATCAGGGAAACAAGTTTGGTATTGACAAAAGAAGTGGAGAAAAAAGGCTGAGCTCAGAATTGAGTGTAAACACAAAGGAGGATAAAGTGTTTTAAAAAGATGTGCTGAATCCTTCTGTAGTAAGACTGAGTGTAGACAAAAAGTGTGAGTCAATGTTTAAAAACATCTTTGGTTTGCTCATAGAGGAGAAGGGAGGTGATGGTTACCCTTGTTTCACCCTTTTCTTATAGTATGGGACTGAGGAACTCTGAAATTTAAACAAGCACACAAAACCAACCAGTAATTTCTGAGAATCTCTCCTGAACTGCAGGCACACTCTGTCATTGGTATTCCCAGCCCTAATCTTGCAGAAATTTTAAGACTGAAAAGAAACAAACCAACAACCCTAGCCAAGCCGCATCCCAGATTTTAGATTAAGCAAAGACAATACATTAAAATTTATTTTGCAACCACATGACATAGACAGAGCCATCTAAGAACAAAAGGACATCCACAAGTTCACTTGGCTCCAGGAGCCGAGGCTTTAAAAGAAAATAAAAACTTCTGAGGCTCTGCAATAAAATCCAAAGTTTGCTACACACTTCATTTCAATGCTATCAAAAGCCTAACATTTTTTCAACCACCTAACAAAGTACAAACTATTCATTTCCCTCCCTTCTCTAGCATAGAAATCATATTAAAAATAAACAACAAAGAGCAGCTACAACGTGTGCCTGCATCTATCAGGACTGACAAAATTTGCCTCAAAGGGGTGCTGCAGGGCTTAAATTAATTAGCCTTTCCGAGGTAGTCTGTGATGCTTGAGCAATGGGCACTATAGATCAGCTGCATAAATACATGTAGGTGTTGCCTTAGCCTCAGTGATATGCATGGCACCATAAACGGAGGAGGACTTGGGGGAGAAAAAGAAAACCCAACCAAAACCAAACAAAAATCACTATATGTGACACACATGAAAGATATTTCACCCCCACACCTTAAACACAATGTTATCATCACAGAATTCACAAACCAGCCAAGGAAAGGGCAGATTTACTACCCACAGGATGGAGCAAATCAAGATTTTCAGAATAAAATAGATATCCCCCACAAAGAAAGAGGGAAAGCACAAAGCTGGCTGAGCATGCAGGCTCCAGCCCACTCGGACACAGCAGAGCTCACATGACAGATGCTATTGAGGCTGACATTCTCCATCCACATGTTTGTGCATAATGAGATGCAGGCAGCCAGGGCAGACACTGATTTATTGTAGTCCTCACAATAGCGCCAGTGATTAGCAGCTCATTCTGGGCTGGGTATAACTGACTGAGTTCCCTCTCTCTCCTGAATTTTCTTTAGTGCCTTCACGTCTCATTAAGAGGAAATTTCATGTTGTCTCCACTGGAGCCTCCTTGATTCCTCATGGAGCTGCTGGGGCAGCTTCAGGCAACTCTGGAGAGTCCCAAGGTGGCCACTGAAGGAGCCCTGATCCAGGGCTGTCCATCCTGTCCTGTCCTAACCATGGACAGCATAATGCTGAGAAGGATTTGGGGGTGCTGATGGGTGAAATGTTGGATATGTCCTTGGAAATGTCAACTTGCAGCCCAGAGGCCAACTGTGTCCTTAGCTGCATCCAGAGCAGCGTGGGCAGAGGTGAGGGAAGGTTCTATCCCCGAGCCCTCACAGGTAATTTCCCACCTGCAGAGCTGCCCCAGCGCAGGGAGGAGCTGGAGCTGCTGCAGAGAGCCCAGAGGAGGCTCCAGGATGAGCAGAGGGATGGAGCAGCTCTGCTGGCAGGAAAGGCTGGCACAGCTGGCATTGCTCACCTGCACAGGAGAAGCTTTGGGCTGAGCTCAGGGTGGCCTTGCAGGGCCTGGAGGAGCCCCAGGAAAGCTGGAGAGAGACAATGGCCAGGGGATGCAGGGACAGCACACAGGGAATGGCTTCAAATTGCTAGACTGGGTTTAGATTAGATATTAGCATTAAAACCAATGAGAAACTACTTTCCTTTTGCTTTTGGAAGAGGCAAAGCCTTTTATGGGGATTTTTTTTTTTTGTGGTTTCCAAGTTCAATTTCAGGCCCACACAACAGACACCAAGAGCAAATGCACTAAATTGTTTCTTCCCCTGTGGACAATGCACGTATTTTATGATTGGCTCTTTGCAAATATTAAAATGAATATTATATGTGTTGTGTTAGTAAGTAATGCTGTATTAATTCTCTTAAGTACTGTGTTAAATATAGTTTTAAGTTATAACAAAATGTTAAAATAGAAACGATGCTATGTAGGATATTTTTTTAAAGAAAGGACTTGCAGTGAGACAGCAGCCACAGGACACCTAAATCTTTCAGAGAAAGAGAATTTATTGCTCCATCATCAGAAGAAACAAACTTCTTCCTGCCTCAAAGGTGCTGTCAGGATTCAGAGGAAGAAGTTGATGATGACCAGACAGAATCTTATATTTGAATAGAATTTATGCATCATGTATGAAGTGTATGAAAATGCAACAGGCTATTGTTTTTAAGGGTTAATCCTTTGTTAATGTGTGTTCTTTTTCTGCTGCCCAGAAAAATGCACCCGGACTGTCCATAACTCTTTGTCTTTATTGTCTCATATTGTCCTAATCCAAATTGTCCAATTTATTATTACTCTAATTGTATTACTATTTTTATAACCATTTTATTACTATTAAAAATTTAAAAACAAGCGATTGGCGTTTTTCACACCCCCTAAAGGTCACCTTAACCGCA